GGCTGAGTGTTGCCTGGCCAAGGTTCCGCTGCCGTCTGTTTTTTTGTTTTGTCCGGTCCCCGGACAGATGAGACGGAAGCGATCTACGAGACAGTAGTTGTAGAAGGGAAACATTTTTTTGTCACAATCTTTTTACGCAGCTGCAGCCTGTTGACTGCGATTTAAACACAACCGGCTAACGTGTAGCGACATCAGATTGGCTTTCATTGGATTGGATCAGCTTTCAAAGGCTTGTGATTGACGTGAAATACATGATGATGCTTTACTTTTTCAACTTATTGACGGAAAAATAATTGGTAGGAACTAATGCAACAGCGAATACAATATTGAGTGAATATTAGGTGACAGCAGCATATTTTTATTCGCACTGAGAAAGGATGCATCATTGGTTCTTGAGAAGTTGGCAACTGCCGTGCTAAATTTCAACACACACACAACTTTAAACCCTCATCTAGCATGCATCATAACCTCTTCTTGAGCGAAATGTACAGATCAACTACCTCGCGTGAGTGTCAAAACGTGTATACGTTTTTTGCTCAGCAACATTGTCCGTTCTCCCAGTCGTACTCGGGTCCGCTGGCACGCAGGACCTTCCCCGGGTCCGTACCGATGTCAGCGTGCGTGCCCTGGTTTCTAGCCAGGTCCGTGCCTTGGTCCCTAGCCATGTGGGCATTCCATTTCTGATCCAGATCCGCATCGCTGTACATTTCCCTGGTCCCTAGCCAGATCCGTGCCCCGTTCTGTACCCGGGTCCTTGTCCGGGTTTGTACCCCGGTTCGTATCCAGATCCGTACCCTGGTTCCCAGTTATATCCATACCCTGGTTCTCAGCCAGCTCCGTATTCACACCTGTACCCCGATCCAGCTCCGTACCCACACCTGTACTCCGATCTAGCTCCGCACCCGCACCTGTAACCCGATCCAGCTCCGTACCCACACCCGTACCCCAATCCGTGCCCAGTTCCGCGCCCAGTGCCGTCCGTGCATCGTCCGTTCCCGAGTCCGTGTCCAGCCGTGGTCGGTGCCGGCCGCACCTGTCCGCCGTCCTGGTTGGTCCTGACCGGCGCGGCTCGGCCGGGCCGGGCCGGGCCGGCCGCGCTGGCACCGTTACATGGCTGGCCGGCGCGGCCCACTCCCACTATATGGGCTGGCGCGGGCTGAACCATTTCCCGGGCCGACCCACAAACACGGCCCCCGACAATCCACGGCCGATCCGGAGAAACGGGACAGACTCGGACAAGAGAGCGGGACAGCTCCTGTCGCAGGAGGACTAACATCCACAGGAGCGAGTCCCGGGCCGACCACAAACACGGCCACGACCGACCCTACGGCCGACCGGAGAGAACGGGACAGACTCGACACGGAGCGGGGACAGGCCCCTGTCACAGGAGGACCTAACGACACAGGAACGACCGGAGAAACGAGACTAGACTCGACAAAGGCGCGGGTACAGCTCCTGTCGCAGGAGGGACTAACAACACAGGAGTGAGACCACCCCTGGCAAAGGAACGGGGCAACTGCTGTCACAGGAGCAAGACAGCCACAGTGGACAGCGCTCACACAAAAGTTGAGTAGTCCCGGCCCAAGAGCGGGACGACTGGGCCTGTGACACTAACGAGACAAGCCACACACACCTGGAATCTTAATCAAATACCCAAGCAACTGGGGCAAAAGCGGGACAGCCAACACAGCAGCAGGAATGCCTCTGACGCAGGAGCGGGACAACCCGACACAGAGGCAGGACAGCCGACACAGAAGAGAGTAGCTTCCGACGCAAGACAGGGACAACCGACGCATGAACAGACAGCCGATACAGGAGCGGGACAGCCTCCGATACCAGAGAGGGACAACCGACACAGGAACGGGACAGCATACACAGGAGCAGGACAGTCGACACGGGAGAGGACAGGCTCCGACACAAGACAGGGACAGCCTACACAGGAGAGGATAGCTTCCGACGCAAGACAGAGGCAACCGACACAGGAGTGGACAGCCGACGCATGAGAGTGACACTGTGGTCGTGCGCCCACGCGCTACCACTCTATCCAAGTGACTCGGTACGAATCGTACGTATTTCCCAAAGGCCGTCCGTCTCGCTGTTTAATTTAAGGCAGACGGGCACAGTTCAAGTCTGCTGTAGTTACAACGACGGCTTCTGGAGAAGACTGGCCCGGCAGACAGAGCCAGGCGCCGTCGGCAGCGCGGTTGTTTTGTTGGTGTGCGGTTGCATAGCATTAAATATGATTTGTTAGTGTGCGTTGGCATGGCTGTACACATCATGCCGACGCTGCAGGCCGCGGCCCTCTCGGCCCGGCCGGCTGACCCAGCATCAACGAATAGCACCACAAGACGCTGTTACAACGTGTTGCACGAGAATTGAACACAACCGGCGGACGTAAGAAATACGGCCTCGGATTGGCTGTCATATGATCGGATCCGCTTTCATGAGCCGCGCCGGCGGCCTGTAAACATGGACGTCGGAGCTGCGTGATGCTGGGGTGGCGTCCGTCCTCGGACGGATACGGGCCTGTGAACAGACCGAGGTACGAACAGTGTGGACGGGACGGCTGCAGATTGCAGACAACGCTGGCAGCCGGAAGGGTGCCCCTGTGGTGCAGCGCCGGAGCATTTTTCCATGGATGGATTGTGACCGTGTCTGTCACAGACTCTGCCACAAGAGTGGTACAACCGACCCAGGCTTAAACAAGCCCGGCACAGGATCGGACAAGTCCCGACATAACTGAGATTTAGACGCCCATCTGGACACACACATGACTCGCAGAAATCAGCTGGACCAAAAATGATGTGGAAAATGAGACAAATGCCCGAGGTCGGATGTTTTAGTCCTACTCGGAAATCAGTAGCATGGCCCATAACACCCAATGCCAGAAGGTGCTGCTTGACAATGCTCTCCTCCTTGCCTTGTCTTCAAACAAGATGCCAACCCTTTTTGCCGGTTTTTGTTAGGTTTCATTAGTCACGAAAGGGAGAGGTTTTAAATGCCCACAAATGACCATTTTACGGGTTCCGCAAAGCTGTCCACAGTCACGCGTGCGCACATGTGCTGAGATGAAGGGAAAGTATGACCGCCGGTGTCCCGTGTCCGGTCAGTTTTTGCCATCTGCAGTGTACCATTTTCAATGACGTTTTTCTTTACAATAGTCAGATGTTTTCGAAGACAGTTATTTAGGAAGAAGACGTTAGAAATCAAAAGTGGTCAGCTCCTGTGTTTTTCTGTTACTTGCACATTTATGAAAACAGTCGCAGTCTGCACTCCCTACGGAGCATCACAGTTGTGAAGCCCGTGTAAGTGTGCCGGTGCGCTGATGACCAGGGTGTCAGTGTTCATCAGAATGCGCGTGTGCATGCATAAGTTAGTTCCCACGCGAGAGGGAAGAATACCGGCTAGCGACACATGAAGAAATCCAGGCAAGACCGCAAGCATCTGAGCCTTATGAGCCTGTTGGAGGCCATGACTGGGCTGCTCCCGACCCGTCCGTGCGCATGCGGTAATGATAGCTAGGGTTGGCATCACTACCTAGCTTCCCTTTTCGGTCCAGAGTAAAAACAACGTGCTAACCTTGTGAACCCCTTTATAACGGCAACATTCGCATTATTCCCAGGTCTTTAAACACGTATCAAGTGGCAAAAAATACGACGATGGTTTGTCGTTATCTGTGCCTGTTATGACAACACCCGACGAAAGATATAATGGAGCTTGTGGTGTCGCTTTCATGAAGTGGAATTCAGGCGTGTGAACACATATGCGTGGTAGCACATTCGTGAACTTTGTTGTCACTGAAAACACGCCAGATTCAAATAACTTTTCTATCATTCGGTATGTGGGAACGCGCTCGCGTGCTCAGTTGTTGGGAACCGCCGACTATGGGTGCGCCTAAGGCTTCGTTCATTTCGGAAATGAACGAGTACGTTTCTCACTTGACTCATGGTGTATTATGAGAGCACACCTAAAAACAACACCGTTCCAACTTACATCTACCTTTGTGCGCTCAACGTAGTAGAGCACACAAGAGGTCTTTGTAACTTGTCAGGGATGCAGAGTTATTTAGTTTCATAGGCACCACACGGTATATTCTTAAATGCTACTGAGCCCATTGAGAATGAATCAAATGCCCTGGCGTTTCACCAGAAAAAGTAAGGCCACCAGAAAAATTTCTACCCACGCATTAGCCACGATTCACAAAAACCGATAAACGGTTGAAAAACAATCGGGCAGCGATTGGCCGCAAGTTTCTTATTCGTGTCGATACGTCCTTGCCTTAATCCACAACTGCCTGGCAAATCAAAGGTAAGGCTCCTTTACCATACTGGTCAAAAGTATCCTCACTCATTTAAGTTCGAGAGTAACATCGCAAGCTTTTCGGGTAGGCCAAACGCGTTTCAAGCGCACGAAAAAGGAGCAATTTGACCCTTTCCAAATTAGCATAGTTTTTCATGTTGCAGTGATGGCCGTCAAAAACTGGCGCCTGATTTGTATTATTCCTGTGCATTTCATGGGGGGGGGGGGGACATGGGGCTAGACTAACTCCGACCTAGTGAGCCGCCGTAAGCGCCGTGAACCTTCTTGAGCCGGCCGGAAACTCTCGGAGCTCGCTAACCAAAGTGAACTCCTACGTTGGGTCGCTCCAGGCTGATGCCGCCACCAGATTCAGTACACCATCATGCACTGGCTACAAGGCTCTCCGACGGTTTTACCGCCGCCAGGGATACTAATGTCGATCGGCAGAGTTTCACCGAGATTACGGTGTTTCAGAGCATTTTGTGACCTCTGGTGTCAAGGGCCACGTAATAGATGTCAGCTTAACGATTGGTGGGTAAGGTTGGCTATGGCCATCAATAGTCGTATTTTTTTTATCCGAACATTGGATGCTGATATACAGGAGGCGGGGTGCTCGCCAGCCTCTCCACCCACCTCCCCTCTCCCTCTCCACCCGCGTGTCGTCGCTGACCCTGACAGTGCGTCGCTCTCTTCGCTTCCAGCTACGTATCGTCGTTCCGGGAGATGCGATCGCTCTCCTCCATCCACCACCCGGTGGACGCCTTTCTAATGGTGCGCCGGCTTACCGTCGACTGGGACATCGTGGAGGACGACCTCCGGCGACAGATCAACCAGACGCAAGGTAGCGTGTGCTGACGACGCAGCCAGACGCAGCGTGTAGCCAGCTGCCAGACCAGCCGGACGCGAGGTCAGGTCAGCAGAGAAGCAGTGCCCGAGTCAGCTCAACCAAACACGATGTAGCCGGCTACACGATCACTGAGATCAAAATCAGGCCGACCACACGTAAAATGATCTATGGTTAGTTCAACTAGACACTAGGCATCAAAGAATCCGGTAGCTTATGTACGAGATACCAACCACCCGATCAACCACACGGACAATAGCCAACGGGCAGGTCATCCAGACGTCAGGTTTCTTAAAGAACATTACCAAAACAGCCAGAGGTAGGCCAATCAGCAAGTCATCCGCGGGCGGCGGTGGTAGCCGCAGCAGACCCTGATGCTGACCCTAAGCGAACATTTCCTTGTTTCCACTGTAACCTATCATTCACCCACTGCAAGACAAACGCTCATGCTCCCGCTCCCAATCATCTGCGACGCAAAGTGCCGCACTTCACTGCAGCCCTAACCAGTGCAGCAGACTGTGCTGGCGGCGCCAGGGCTCCCACGCTGGGTCGCTGCAGTCAGGCGGCGCCGCGCGCCACGGTGGGTGGCCGGGGCAGCTCCCAGCAGCGCGGCGTCTAACGGGCCGACGGCTGCCTCTAACCCGACGCCCGCACACTGTCAGCCGCCGGATGGCGGCGGAGCGCCACCAGACCTGAACCGGTACAGACCGCTGGTCTGTGACCAGCCCCGGTAGCTCGTCAGTCCGGCGACCGCGACAGTGCTCCGTCCGTCCGCCCGGAAGGCGGGGACCAAACCACCCGTCCGCCCGGAAGTCGGGGACCAAATCACCCGCCCGCCCGGAAGCCAAGACCAAACCATCCGCCCGCCCGGTAGCTGTGGACCAAACCACCCATTCGCCCGGTAGCCATGGACCAAACTACCCGTCCTTTCGGAAGCCGTGGACCAGGCCCCCCGTCCGCCCGGAAGTCGTGGACCAAAGCACCCGTCTGCTCGGAAACCGTGCATTAGTCCACGAATCCTCCCGAAGCCTTACGTCTATCCCCTCGTTCACCAGAGATCCAGGAATTCGTACATAGGTCCGCATGTCTACTCGCCAGGCCGATGTCCATAGTCCACCTGTCCACCCGTCCACCGGCGTCCACCGTCCAGTCCGCCATCGCCGCACGGCCCAGCGGCGGCGTGCTCATTCCAGCGGTGCTGTGTTCGCCCAGTTTCCGGGCCGTCGTGTCAAAGGGCGCTCGCGCGCGGCGGCCGTGTCGCGGCCTGGCCCAGATGGCGGGCCAGGCCAGCGTGGGCCCGGCGCGGACTGGGCCACCGCGGGAGGTCACTGCGCGGCTGGACCGCAGGGGTCGTGGTGAGTCGGTGGGGTACCGGGCCGACGTCCATACATTGTGGGTCATAATTGGGCTTCGACAACAAGCATATAGCAAATTGACCCAGTTCAACTTGAGTGAGTTTACTCTCACTACAGTCCGTCCGCCGTTGGCATGCCGGTCCGCCCGTGGTCAGTATGCCGGTCTGCCCAACGTCTGCATGTCAGTCCGTACACCGTTTGTATGCTGGTACGTCTACCGTCTGTATGTCGGCCTATACACCGTCTGTATGCCGGTCCGCTCACCGTCTTTGCGCCCGTCCGTTAACCGTCTGTATTCCGGTCAGCACACCGTCTGTATGCCGATCTGTCTGCCGCCTGTACGCCACTCCGTATTCCGTCTGTGTGCCGATCTGTACGCAGTCCTGCATACCGGTTTGAACGCCCTCGGTCTCTCTCGGCCAGTGCGTATGCCGTCTGTATGCAGATCCGTACGCCATCTGTATGCCGGCCTGTGCGCCGTCTATGTGCCGGTCCGTGCTCCGTCTGTATGCCTGTCTGTATGCAGTCTGTATGCCTGTCCGTGCGTCATCTGGCGGCCGGCCGGCGACTGGCGGCCCGCACATGCCGGGTCTTGTGCCGGCAAATGTGAAGCACACGTGCTAACGAGTTTAAAGACTACAGCATCTTTTGGGCATGTTGTTTGGTTTACACTAAGGCACTGAAATCACGGATTGATTGAAAATTACGAATGAAAAAGCGGCCTTTGCTACAGCACGCCCTAAATATTCTATCACCACCACAATGTGAATAGGTAGCCTTCCATGAGTTGTAATTTACATGAGTGCATCAACTACGAAACACCTCGCTGAACTAATCCCATTCATTGGTGCACGTGCCGACTCACAGTGCAAAATATTTTGCAACGGTTATTCATAAAACACCGTTTTATTAAACCCTAGCTCCTCCTACTACAGTAGCTGTCCTTCTTCCCTGTCATATGGTGACTGTATTTTTTCTAGACTTTTCGCCTAAACGTAGATGCTCTGCTGTATTCGATACCACCTTGATGGCACAGAACCACTCGCCCAGACCAGGCCGCCCCCGCCCGAACCCTGTTCCCATACACCCCGTTCCCATGGCGGGGCTGTATTCGAGGGCGTGTGAAATCGTCGCGACGCTGCGGACAACTCGACCGAGACGACGGCGCCTGGTCGGCCCGCCGCCAGGCCCGCCGCTAAGTCCGCCGCCAGCGGAGTTATACCGCACCGACTCACGGGCCGGCCGCCGTGACCCACGGGCCGACTGCCGGGACTCACGGGCCGGCCGCCGTGACCCACGGGTCGACTGCAGTGCCTCACTGGCCGACCGCCGTGACTCACGGGCCGACCGCCGTGCCTCACTGGCCGACCGCCGTGCCTCACTGGCCGGCCGCCGTGCCTCACCGGCCGACCGCCGTGCCTCACTGGCCGACCGCCGTGCCTCACGGGCCGACTGCAGTGACTCACTGGCCGACCGCCGTGACTCACGGACCGACCGCTGTGGCTCGCGAGCCGACCAGCGTGAATCACGGGCCGACCACCGTGGCTCACGCACTGCGGAGAAACGGACCCTGGCGAGTCTCGCGGGTGACGGCGGACCAGCGGCCGCCGGCGGCTCAGCGACACACACGTCGGAGCGCTGGCTCGCCCGGGGCGCGACGTGTCACGGGTCGAGGGCTCAGCCGAAATTAATGCTCGGTAACAGCACAGTGGCTGTGCCGGCCGTCGTTACGCCGTCATTTAGCCGGCGTTTGGCGGCGCGCTCGGCGCTGCTGATGACCGGCTGCCGGCCAGACAGTGACGCCCGTGACGTCACGGCGCGCGGCGGCCGGTGTGTCTGACCCAGATGGCCGGCCGGTCCGGGCGGCGTCAGCCGTGCGATTGATTCGGCAGCCAACGGTAATCGCTGGGCTAATAGCCGCCGGGAGAGGTGACTCGCGGGCCGGTGGGAACGCGCCGGCTCCGCGCGCCGCTTAAGCGGCCGATGACACGTAGGGTGTGGCTTGTGGGTGCGGACGGCTGCTCTGCAGGCGGCAGAAGCGCTTTGTACCATATGCAGTGGCAGGGGACCAAAATGTTGGAACGGATGTGCTTAGACGTTCGCCGAACCTGTACTCAAATTTTTCCACTTTTTGGCCACCGTTGTTTGCTGCGTTGTGAGCCAGGCGGGATTTTTGATGCCGTACTAGCAGCCCAGTAGCAAAAAAACAACAAAAAACAAAAAACGCAGCGCAAGAGTAAACATGCTGTTATTGCGTTAGTCTTCTAATTCTAAGACTGATGATTTGCCTCAGAATGCCCAATTGTAGGACTGCAGATTGCTGCACTGGCGTGTGCCCTTTAGAACCCGAGCAGTAGCTCGGGTTCTAAAGGGCAGTGAACAATTGGCGTATTTAAACGCCGCTGCACACGCCGCGTATCTAAACGCCACTGTACTCTTGTAAATGGCAGTTCAATCTTGGCGACGAGCGGCCACGAGTGGACCCGCTCGATTAAGGGGTCCCGAGCTGTTCGCCATCATCTTCTGGAGAATTTGTAGAGGTCAGGCAGAATTTCCGGTCCAGTCTGAGATAGTGCACCCGTACTTCATCATCTTCATTCTCTACTGCTCGTTCCGGGAAATTCCACTCCCAGTCAAGGCGTAGCTTCGAAAATTTGTCAAGCCAAGCCACCTCGCATGGAGGGGTTCCATGAAGCTGAGACCTGATACAAGGCTTCTTCCCACCGCCATATTGGATCAACACAGCTCGCAAATTAAGTCATCTGACGGCGCGATGTCGGACCGGAGCACGGTCGCCCGTCGGCGGCGGTGGAACAATGGCGGTGGCGAGCGGCGGCTTAATAACCCACCTTTGTTCTGCATAGCCCTGTACCAGCCGAAGATTCCAGGTCAGCAGAGGGAATACCAGCGTCCGTTCCGGGAACCCCACCCAGCGTCCGTTCCGAGAACCTCGCCCAGCACCCATTCCGTGTATCCCGCACGCTGCCGCCCCACGCCCACAGCGACTAGCTTGGACTGCGCCCCACGAAGCCATCGTCTGGCATGCATGTTCCCCGACCTCACCTCCCCAAACCATTCCCTGAACGGGTTCCTTTCCTGATCACATTTCCTGTCCTCATTCATTCTACTGGAACACATGACGGGCGATGTTCGTATCCAAGGCACCGCGAGTAGGATGCGTCAACATTGGCGCTGCGGGCACTGGCCTTAACATTGTTTCGGTTCGCTTCAACTCATCGCACGTAGTTGGCTTTGTCTCCCTTCTATGGCCTCAAGGGGTGGTTGGGGACAAGGGCGTCGTTTCATGCTCATTTAGGGGTCTCAGCCCCCCCCCCCCCCGAGCTTTATTATCACCCACCACTTCTTCAAAAGGAAGGCGGTTCAAATCCCGGAAGAAATTGGACTGCACGTGAATATGAGGGCAGTTACAGTCATGTTTACTAGGGTCGCTCCCTAGGTGATTTAAAAACTGCTCAGCCGCTATGCACCGTTCTAGGCTGTGCCGGAGTCGGTCGCGGCAGGTTCCCTTTGTGGCCAGTCACCCCCGCTGGCAATACATAGCAGTGACCTGCCTGACCCCGTGTTGATCCAAGCTGCCCCGTTTGTGATCCGTCTTGCGACATCTGACGGCGACCTGGCCGACCACGCTCTGAACTGGGCTACTTGTTCCGGAGTCCGTCTCGCCGCGTCCGGCGGCAGCCCAGCTGACCTGGTGCTGACCCCAGCCGCTCGTTTCAGAAACGCTCGGCTCTGTGGCCAGCTTCCGGGCGGACCGACCGTACCCGGCCGCCGACGACCTGCACGGCGCGGCCGTGGCGCTCATTCGGCTCCAGGACACGTACCAGCTGAACATGACCCGGCTGCCCCGCGGCCACATCGTCGGCGTGGGACCTGACCCGGCAGGTGAGGGGCCGATGTGACCCAGCAGCCACGAGGGGACATCGCCGGTGTTAGGCCTGATCTGGCGGCTGACACACCCAGCGTGCGTAGAATCAAACGCTTGGGGCGTGCTAATCACTCCCGAAAGTTCTGCAATGAAGGCCGTGATCCGCGCGCCGCCCAAAAAGAAGGGCTTCGAGGTGCCAAGGCAACAGAGGAACACCACGGCGCCGCGCCTGGCTCTGCTGAAAACATTGGCTTATGTGTTAAAAGTCCTTCGTTGAGTGCACGCCTAGGGAGGCCTACAGCAGAACAGCCAAAAACTTCAGTCGCCCAACAGCTGACACTTTCTAGCTTGCCCACCCTCAGTGTTTTGGCGAAAGCTGTGCCACTAAACACTTGATTACTTTATTTGAGCATCCATAGATATGTGCCTCATGTGCATAGCGCTTATGACATCAGACGCAATTTATGTATATTTTAATTGCAGACTCATGCATACAGAACTGTATGCTGCTGTTCTATGCAGTCATAATTGTGAAGGATTTTTATTGACCCCAGCCTCATGAAAGCGCTTTGCACAGGTGTAACCCTCAAAGTCATTCCTGATATTTGGCTTCCGCAACATATCGACAAATATATACCGAAAACCACTCCATGTGGCAGACTTGTACAACACCGTGTTGTGCCGACCAGACATTCGCCACTCAGTGGCTAAGTCGGGACCTATCAACGATGAATGCGTATTTCAAAAGCATTTTACTCCTTCTGCCGTATTTCGCATCATCAGATCAGGATCTGGTGGCCAGTTTGTCTCACCTAACTACCCCAACTTAGCCCATGGTACGATAGAATAAGAGTCTATTGGGTTCATCATGTGGTTGTTTGTTGGTTGTTAGTTCTCATGTTTTGAAAGGTCACCGATATATCTGAGTCGATAACAGTCTATAGCTAAAATCAGCAGCCGAGTCCAGCTCTATCCTGGACCAGTTATGCTCAGTATAGTCCCGTCGATTTCACATCATTTGGCTTGGCTTTCGGAAACATAGCCCACTCTCCATGAACACGCTGTCAGCTGGCGCCACCACTGCGGTATTGACCGTTTACATAACCTGCAACGTCTGTACTCCGGCCGGGTTTGTAGCTGTGGGGCTCTTGGTGCGAAGCTCGCAGCCACAACGGGCCACGCCCACGGATTTAGCGGACATCGTCCAGCCGGTGCTGTCTGTCCGGTACTGCCTCAGTCTAGTTATCGTGAAGTTTGGATCAGTCCCAGCAGATGCTTTCACCTTGTGCTGTACAGCTGGAACGTGGGCTGGCGCAGAGCAGGCCATTCAGACGAGTTTGGTCCGACTCGTTCAGCATCTCTCAGCGCTTTCTTCTGCACGCAAATGATCTCGGATAATTGGAGTCAAATCTGCTGTGAGCAGCTGCCATGCGGTCTCATCAGACCGAAATGAAAATGGAGTGGTACTTGCTCAACCATAACTCTAACTCAGACAGGCGTCTCTCACGGCTTGGCGTTCGTCTCATGGTCAGGTGTCTCTCACGGCCTGGTGTCCGTCTATGGTCAGGGATCATTCACGGCCTGGTGTCCGTCTCATGGTCAGGAATCATTCCCAGCCTGATGTCCGCCACATGGTCAGACGTCTCTCGCGGCCTGGTGTCCGCCACATGGTCAGGCGCCCCTCACGGCCTGGTGTCCGCCTCATGGTCAGACGTCTCTCACGGCCTGGTGTCCGCCTCATGGTTAGACGTCTCTCACGGCCTGATGTCCGTCACCTGGTCAGACATCTCTCACGGCCTGGTGTCCATGTCATGGTCAGACGTCTCTCACGGCCTGATGTCCGTCACCTGGTCAGACACCCTCACGGCCTGGTGTCCGTCACATGACCAGACGTCTCTCACGGCCTGGTGTCCGTCACGCCACCCGATCTGTGCCGATGTCGCGTCGGTTCCGTTTCCACACCTCATCGGCCGGCACCGTCGGGCGTGACCGACGACCAGCCACTCCGGACTCGTTCGGAACAATCTGGAACCGCGCGGCACCGCCCAGACGTGCCCGGAGACAACCGTGACGGCAGGAACGCGGTCAGAGTCGAGCGGCCGGCCGCTGGTGATAGCCCTGGCCAGCCGGGCAGTCCTGCAGACTCGACGAGCGCAAGCGGCGAACGCAGGCGGATAGCCTTGTTAGCGCAACGACCCAACCGTCATCACGAACTGCGATTGACAGCAGCCGATGAGTAATTCTCATGGCGCTCACCTGGAGCAGCGACGATGGGCGAGCCAGCGATGACGCAGGGGCGACGGCCTCGACACTGTTAACACGCGCTCGGGTGGAGGACAAATTGAACCTCCGAAGGTTTTCCTGGAATGGTTTCCGAAAGACGCGGCGTAACCGCGCCAAATTTTGCATGGCTGTAGACAATTGAATAGCGGATTGTCTGACACCAAATATTTAGATGTACATTGTAAGGTCGCTGACCTATGGCAAGTCAAAGTCAGGCCAAGGTTTCAGCGAAGGCAATTTCTAGGGAAACGTTAGATATGATCCAACAACGGAGTGTTAGACAAGGTCATGCATCTTTGAAATACTTTCTTAGACAAAACAATAATTGAATGAAAAAGCTACATTGACCTAGAATCGGGTATAAAGGTCAGATCAAGGTCAAAACCAATATGTTCTATTACTCTAGGGCTTGCTGCATAGGATAGCTTCTGGAGCCCAATTTCGTATTTATTGATTACAGGAACCCGCATTATACACCTTCGATAGATTTTTTAAAGGTCAGAATAGGTCACTGACCTAGAATGACACAGGTCAAGATTTCATTTTTAGGAACATACTGCCCAGCGTGATATCTGTCGCTTATCCAAAGGCAAAACTCAAAACAGTCTTGTCTGATTTTGGTCACCATAACCTTTAGAAGGTTAAACAAGGTCACTGACCTTAGATGAGCGTGTGTCCCTTTGCTTGGAACAGTTATCTAGGTTCTAAGGGCCCTTTGGAGATTAACTTGAAATTTGACTTTGTTTGACCTTATTTGATCCAAAGGTTACAACCTTCGACCTAAGTGAGTTCACGCACAGGTCAACGCACTCCGTGAATTTGGCGTCTCTAGCTCTCGAAGTTTCTGAGATCTCAGAGGGTTCAAATTGACCCCCACCCGAGCGAAGGGTATCCAACCGGCCACTCGGGCGCGTGTTGAGGTCATCGCCCCTGCGTCGCGCTTGGGCGCCGTTCTCACAAAATGACACGTGCGTGCCTTCCCGCCACATCTGCGTTGTCGTTTTGTGAGGATGTGCGAGTGCCTACAGCACGACTAAAACGAACCCTTGTTTTCTGGCAGTCTAGCAATTCGTATATATATATATATATATATATATATATATATATATATATATGTGTGTGTGTGTGTGTGTGTGTGTGTGTGTGTGTGTGTGTCCATATACGATTCTGATCGGTGCCCCGCTCAGACTTGATCCACGGCAGTAGGTCATTATCACAAAATACTGCCGCCACAGCGGTGTCTAACAGATATGCCTCGGACCATCACTGCCACGCATGAACGGAACATTGAGCATGCATTGAACATTCCATCGCTTGCAATCTCGGCTTCAGCACGCACCCGATACCGTGTTACGTATTCTTATGAAAATAGGCGCATGTCCGATCTGTGGACGAGCTGACGCCTGGGTCGTAGCGAATGCTTGCAGCATGATTATCATCATGCCGTGTCAGCCTCACGGTATTAGGGGGTGCACCTGGTGCCGATCACACCGGGGAATACCGCCCAGCCTGACACTCACGCTCTCCATCAGCTCCCTACGGGACTGGAAGCGCGCGGACGGGCATATATCACGACTTACTAACCTCAGTATTTATCGGGCGAGCTGTCTCTTTCCGCGCTGGCCTCGTTATCACATTTGCGTCGTATGAATGCGACAATTTGCTGCTGTGATTGGTCGGGTGCGGGATGTGCATTGCTGATTACATCCTGCAGGTGTGCGCAGCGGTGATTTAGTGCGGGTAATTGGTGAGACTAAGTGGCAGTTGCGCCGGATCGGCGACGGAGCCGCTCAGCTGCTGCACTCTCCAGCGGAATCCTTCGTGTTTAGTCTGCACTCGTACCACCATGCCTACTCACTTATGATCACCCCACGTATGTTAGGGACGCACCTTAGGACTAAGAAGGCATGCTTGTCTTCTCTGGAGGGATGTAAAGCGAATTAATTTGCACTAAATTTTACGTATCGCTCCCCGGTTTGAACACTACATCCTAAAGACCCTGCATGTTCTCTGATCGGGTCTTAACTGAATAAGTACCATTACAACACTGGTTTCGGGATGTGCGGTATCCTCGGTTTGACTCGCACTTATACTGCACAGTCTATTGGGCGTTGTTCTGGCTTGTGCAGCTTGCTGCTGCACGATTCGCGCTATATTCGACACGGTGTGGGCATGATGTCATGATTTGGCACACACCACCCGCCTCCTTCTCGACCGAGAGATTGAGGACAATCGGACAGCGCTCATTGAACATTTGCGTATGCCTCCATGCATGATGCATACGGCATAGTCCAGAGTCCGGTACGTGTTTCGGATATGCATCGTCCCAAATACCGCAGAGCGCCGCGTCAGGAAGTGTCTTCTCGCCGCCAAACACGCCGACAATGCCGACAGCGTTAGCGGGACCAAGCCCTCAGACTGACCTCAGGACAAAGCATTAGGCGCACGGGTCAGTGAGTTTCAAAGCGCGCGGAGCCACGGCTGACGAGAAACCCTGCTATTTGGATCGTGACACTTCCTCCCTTGCCGGAGGTTTCACCTCCACGGCTGCAGAGGGACCCGTCCATCCGCCCGAGACATCTGGCGCCGACTCCATCACACCCGGCCGGGATAACGAGCCGCCCATCTGGCCCGGGTCGCCGTCGCCGCGACTGTGATTTGGCGTCTGCGGGGTGAAATTCGCGCTCACTCCGTGGCTTCGGGCACGGCGGCTCTCGTCGGCCACCTGTACGCCGGTCCGTATGCCGTCTGTACGCCGGTTCGGCCGGAATCGGTCCATCCGTCCATCGGCTGGCGGTCGGTGAGGTGCATCTGTGACGCGGACGGCGCAGGGCGGGCCGCATCGTCCCACGCGCCGAACGGTGTGTGGCAGGGTAGCACGGGAAAAGAGAGGGAGAGGGGGGAGGGAGAGGGAGAGAGAAGGAGAGAGAGGGAGAGGGAAAGAGAGAGGGACAGGGAAAGAGAGAGAGAGGAGAGAGAGAGAGAGAGAGAGAGAGGAGAGAGAGAGAGAGAAGAGAGAGGATAGGATGAGAGAGGAGGCATGCGAGTCGTCTTTCGCGATTTCCTTTTCTTACTTCTCTCTTTGGTGAGAGGAGGCTGAGAGAGAGCGGTAGAGAGAGCGCGAGCTCGAGCAGAGGGAGGCCAGAGAGCGCGAATGGAAGAGCTCTCTATTGAGAGGCATGGCGAGTAGATGGAAAAGGAAGAGCAGGGAAGAGAGAGAGAGAGAGGGGCGAGATTGATTGAGAGGATGAGAGTCTAGATGTGAGAGGCGGCGGGGATATAAGAACCGAAGAGGAGGAGAGGAGAGTTCTTGAGGACTTGGAGGCGGTGAGGTGGAGGAGGGAGAGAGCTAGAGGAGGTGGCGAGAGAGAGAGAGCTGAGATGCAGGGGGGAGAGAGGGGAGCAGGGAGGGAGGGGAGAAGGGATGGGAGTTGTGGAGGGTCGAGGAGGAGCGAGGCCAGGTCATTTCTAGATGGAACACCATAATTACGCTGAGTCCACGGAGAGTGCAGAGGTCATCAAACCGCCATCAGGCCGAAAGGTAATCATAGTTGTGGTCGGAATGACACCTAGGTCACTCAAAAATCAGAAACTGCCCGGAAATACTCACCCATGTCTTTGAAGCTTTCCCACATCAAGAAACTGTAATGTTCCCCGCTTACTTGCAAATCAGGGTCAGACGGTAGTGAGTATGAAGCGTGAGCGTGAGAACGCAATGACCGATTTAATGCTGTGACGAGTGTCGCATTCGTGTCTTCTACTGCCGCTTGCACCATTCCCCTACGGTATTCCGCTTCCCGATCAGCAAGAGACTCTCCTGATGCCGGCCATTAAGCTGCCAATCTTTATGGTCCGGCGCCAGAGTGAGCCTGGGTAACCTACTGACCAGCATTCCAAGATCGTTCGTGTCAACCACCGGAAACTCCGACCCCATCTCCATGCGCGGCACGCCGGGCACGGGCGGTGCGACCAGCGGCCGATGCATAGCTGAGCGTGTGGCTGACGCCGGATTAGGGTCGCCCCGCTCCCAGCCGCGTCGCGCCGGCCGCGTCAGAAGCCAGTGACCCGCGAGCTGCAGGGCGCACGCTGCCGTAGTCCGCCCAATTACGCGGCGAAAGTGCGCGGCCGGCCGGCTGTTTTTCGGCGCTGTTTGGTGGCGGCGGACCTCGCGGGCGGCGCTGGCTCGCGTGTCAGGGGCCGCGCACGCGCCGGCCAGTGTTCCAGGGCGGCGATGTGGGACAGTGTCGGGTGGTCACGCGTGGGTCGCCGCTGCCCGAGAGCGGTGATGTGGCGAGATCGCGGGGCGCTGTCAGCGAGCCACGCCGGCGCTGCCCCGCCTCGAGCTGTGGGGGTGCCGAGCTGCCGGAAGGCGACTGAGGGATGGTGTGTCCGGAGCTTGGTGCTGTCGACAAGTTGGCGCCCGACAAAGCTGCTAAATAGGACCACGTTTGTCTCCAAACTGAAGTAAAAGACGTTGTCCCCACGCACTTCCGTCTGAAGACAGCAGTGCCCACCGCTTCCTCGTGGATGAGGTCTCTGCGAGCGTCAGCTCCCCAGCTTCTCGAGGCCGTTCAGAGGAGCCTCGTGTTCAGCGGTCCCACGCTGCTCCGGGTGCGAACCAAGCTGGTGTCGCATCGCCAACACGCAAGACCGACCGCGACCAAAGGCTAAACTCCCAATGTAATGCAGCAACACATGTTGATGTATAGCGAAGCCAGCGACAGTCCTATACTCTAAGGCGGGGTTACAAAGAACATGAGGTGTATCTAAGTTTATTTTGACATTGTCGGCTCAGAATATGGTGAGTTTACGGACTGCGTGAATTTGACTTACGCACGGTTTATTAGCAGCTCCCTGTTTACAGTAAGCGTCTGGAAATGATATTGCCGTCGTGAAATGCTCAACCGTTACACGTAGTGGACTCTCCAGAATACATCCAATCGCCTGGCTTGCCCGCACTTGACATGGTTACTCGCAACCTGGGAGCAACACTTCGGCGTCAGTGAGATAGATACACACGCCCGAAAGGTCGCGGTGCTGACTCAACGCCTTATCCGCCCTCTCACTGACATTCTCCTGTACGTCGTGACCGCCGTTCACCTAGAGGTGCGTTTTTTACTGCCGTCGTTGGCCGTCCATTGTGCCGCGCCCTCTCTGATCACGACTATCGACAGCGCGGGCGAGCGCACACTAACCATCATCACGCGGCACAAACAACGATTTCCTAAGCGGCCGAGGGTGAGGCGATGTCGTCACTGCCAGGGCACGGGTGAATAGTGGGCGGTGAACGAGCGCTGCCGGCAGGAACGGAGATTGGTTCACTGTGTGCCGGTCTGGTACCAGCGATGTCGAATACCGCGATATCATTACGTGACACGCAATCAATGAAACACGGCGCGCTCACGCCGCACTAAGCTGATTGATTGTACAGGCTCCATCGCACCTGGCTAGCTGTACGTGACGGTTTGTGCTGCATGACATGAATGAGTGAATGGTCTGTGAATGAGTGAATGAGTGAATGAATGAGTTAGTCTGTTGCGTCGCCTGACAGCCGACGGCTTACCTCGCTCTGTGGCGCGCGCGCGCCGTTCCAGAGTTCCAGAGCGCGCAGCAGCTGACAGCTCGCGACTGTCTGTTCATCGGCAAGCACGCGTTCAGCCGCGGCCTGTACAACGCCGCCATCGAGTGGTTCGAGGCGGCTCTCTGGCGCACGGAGGAGGAGCAGGGCGACGGCGCCACCGCCACGCGCGACGAGATCGAGCCGCTGCTCACCTCCACGATCAAACTGGTGAGTAGCTTCAACAACAGATGCGAACAACTTAAGTGTGGAAGGGGTTCTCAGACAGAAGCCGTGGTGTTGATTGATTGCGTAGTGTGGTGGATTACTTACGGTAGTCTCATTTAGAACAGATCTGATGACCATCGGTGTGTATTGCATCAATGTATAGTAAACATTGCATCAACAAACGGGATGCTCCGTGTGTCCGAAAGTTTTGAGCTGCTGCATAGAAACATTTAATCATATGTGCGAAACGGTAAGACAAAATATTCAAACCTCCATGGTTCTGCATTTCCCGCAAATCGGACCAGCTCTCTTGCTCTCTCGCCTCCGCCAGCACCGGCAGCCAATAGAGCCCTCTGAGACCCCGTCACGACCCGCTGATGTCACGCGCGCCACCTCCGCCGCAGCACGACAGCGTGCTGGAGGAGCAGGGTCCACGCGGCGAGGACTGGCGCACGAACCCGGTGCCGGTGGACCGCCATCTGGCCAGCCAGGAGCGCTACCAACCGGCCCGGCTGGCTGTGTTCGCGCCCAAGCTGCACCAGCAGCAGGCCGACGCCGAGGAGGAGGACCACTTCCACCGGCTGTGCCGCGGCGAGCGCCTCAGGGTGAGTGGCAGGCTGCGGAACGTTAGCAGCTGTGGCCGACGAGTGTTGCTCGCCGGCGAAGCGTAGGCGGTTTACGGTTATACTGATTTTTTGCTGCTTGGGACAAGTTTGTTTCATTGCACCAAAGTCATGTTCCTTCGGCTTCCCTGAAATCCTGCCAGAAATCCTACACAATTAGTAGCCGTTCACTGGGTATTCGCAGACGCCGGCGGAAGAAGCCGACCTGTCCTGCCACCTGACGGCGAACGGCAGCCCGCTGCTGGTGCTGGCGCCGCTGCGGGTGGAGGTGCTGAGCCTGCGGCCGTACATCGTGATGTTGCACCAGCTGGTGACGGACGCCGAGGTGGCCACCTTCCAGCAGCTGGCCGGGCCGCGACTCGCCACCTCACGTCATCGCGCCACCGACGGCCACTTCGTCAGCAGCATGAGTCGCATCAGCAAGAAGTGAGTGCCGCCCTGGGCGGGCCGCCATCGATCGCCGACCAGATTGGTCCACTGCAGTCCTCTGTCAGAGACTGATCCACCGGGTCGGTCCAGACGAGACTAGTCCATCCGAGATGGCGATCTAAGGCGATCTAAGATGGCGATCACCGGCCGAGCTATCCCCGAAGCTCACATGGAGGCAGTGGGGCTGCAACTGGCAGTTGCTGAGAACGGGAGCCGTATTCCGCCATAGGCGGCTGACATCCGTACCCAGCATGCAAATAACCTTAAGTCCAGCACGACAGACGTACTGTGACGCATATCACGAGCGTTGATAAACACAACACCAGCTCCCTTGATTTAAATGCATAACACTAGCGCACAACTTTCCCCAGCGCCTGGATTCCGGATGACGAGGACCCGTCGGGTACGCTGGCTCGTGTCACCCAGCGCGTGGCGGCCTCGAGCGGGCTCAAGTGCGACAACGACCGTGCAGCCGAGGCCTTCCAGGTGCGCCCCCATCCCTGCTTGCTCCACCATGATAATCGGCGTCGATTGATATTGACACACCGTCAAACTTCAAGTGAAATGCGAGGAGGTGAAGGGTTTTTCGCTGTGCGGTAAGAAGCTATTTTTTCACGATTGGAGTTAGTGTTTCAAGCTGGAATGAGCTCGCGTCCGTCAGCATTTATTCCTGTGAGGAACCGTTATAGACAATTGATACGGATGGCTTCATACCAAAGCGCGTTTCTGTGCTTTTAAAATGCTGCTGCACAAGCCCAACGCTGAGCACCGCGGCACTCCCATCCACTCTGGACGCGGGCTGGACCTGCCCAAACCGCTCCGCCCCCTCCCCAACTCTCCTCACGCCGCTCTCCACCCAGGTGGCCAACTACGGCATCGGAGGCCTCTACGTCACCCACACGGACCACCACATGGGCGAGGTGCCTCACGGCCCTCACGCTGACTGGGAGACGGTCATCGGCGACCGACTCGCCACCTGGATGGTGTACCTCTCGGACGTGCCGTCGGGCGGCGCCACCGTCTTCCCGCGCGCCGGCGTCACCGTCTGGCCGGAGCGCGGCAGCGTCGCCTTCTGGTGGAACCTGAACGCGGCTGGCCGCGGCGACGACGACACCAAGCATGCCGCCTGCCCCGTTCTGCACGGCAGCAAGTGGGGTAAGGCTGCGGCAGGGGGAGGGGGCGAGGTCACTCGGGGGCGATCGGCTTCTCAAACTACCTAGTCTGCGGCGGGTAATTGCCTACGCGCTGTCATGTCAGCTTGTCCGGTGACGTTAACATGCTCTCCACCTATCATGGTCTCTCATGACGTTATTCAAAGTCAGCCATTGAGAGTCATTACCATATGGGTCACACCGTCAGGAGCTGCAATCAGTAACGCCGTCTTTCATTTCAGTGTCCAACAAGTGGATTCACTACAACGAGCAGTTCCGGGCCAAGCCGTGCGGTCTGACGGAGGACGCCGTCCACCAGACGCCCTGACCTGGCGCCGCTAGCCGGCGCCGGCGCCAGCTTCGCTGACGCCGAGCGCCAGACGCCCCACGAGGCTCACCGGCTGTCACTGACGCGCCTGTCCTGCGCGGCGCGCCCACTGCGTCCGACTCTGAGTCCGGAGTCCGGCGCTTGCTCGGGGTCTGGCGCTCGTCCGGGGTCCGGCGCTCGTCCGGAGTCAGGCGCTCGTCCGGAGTCCGGCGCACGCCCAGAGTCCGGCGCTCGTCCGGAGTCCGGCGTTCGCACGGAGTCCCGCCGCTCCGGTGGGGACTCCGTCCCGCCGGAGGACTGACCCGCGCGGCCGGGCCCACAGTGAGGGCGTGTCGCCGGCAGACAGTCGAGCCCTTCTCACCGGCATTCGGGCGCGGTCCCGGGCATCCCCGGCGCCGCCCGTGCCCCACTACTCCGATCAGGTTGACCGAGTGCCGTATTCTTGTCCGCGGGCGCTGCGACGCCGCAGCGCCCGCGCGCTGGCGGCCAAGCGTGATTTGTGATTGCGATGTGCGGCTCGCGGACTAGCGCGAAACCAATGAGGACGGTTGTGTGTTGTGAAGCGCAGCAACGATGGTGAAGACGCTGCCATTTGGAGTGACTGAGTGAGAGGCGATGAAGATGTATTTATTATGTATGCAAGTGAAGACGCATGCTGAAACCAAGGGCAAACACTGAACTCGCTGTTAGCAGGCCGCATTACTATATATTCAGTCGTGCATGGTGTGGTGGTTCGGGCGCACCTGCCACCCCGAAGGCTGACATCGTGCTGTATGTTGAGTCAAGCTGCACTTCGGCAGGACGACGGGACGTCGGCGACGTGAGTCTTGTAGCGGGAGTAGCAGGCACCTAGTGTCGGCCTGGCCCGACAGCTGTCCAGTCATGTCTCCCGAGTGTCTGCAGAGGACTCCCTTGTACGCGTTCTCCCAGGCTAGCACGCACGCCACCTTAGCGCCAACACCACCCGCATCATATCATTTCCCAAATAAACACACCTGAAACAATTCCGCTTTGTTTTGATCAGCACCCAACAGGGCATCATGCTTACAGACATGCCCATCTGCAGTGTACCGAGGTCGGTTCGGCTGATATACCACGTGCGTCCACTACCGACAGTTGAAGAGTATTTTTTTTTTTACAAAGCTGAACTTGAAAGTCATATTTTCACCAGATAAGCTCAGCTTTTTGGCTCGTTGGACGTCAGTGGAGGAACAATGGCCCTATTTAGTCTTTGTTCGTATTAGGACGGGTTCCAGCAGCCATCTCTCGTCGCCTCAGTCATGACGACGACGCCATGCTCACCACACATAAAACCTGCCGCTACCATCACGACACCGTTGTATTTCGCTGCTGATACACGATTACCTGGCAGCGGCTGGACACCACCAAGAACAGCACCACTCCGCTCCGCGTCAGGCGCCGGCCGGCCGACGAGTGCAGACCAGACGTCCAAACACAGCAACAATCGGCCTCACCGCACGGCCTGGACGTGCCATCGTGGTCGGCCACGTGCCGATGCCACAGTGTCATCGGGTCAGACCGCATGGGAATGCCACAACGCCATCGTGTCAGACCGCATGGGAATGCCACAGTGCCACCATGTTAGACCACATGCAATACCACAGTGCCATCGTGGCCGACTACATGGGAATGCCACAGTGCCATCGTGGCCGACCACATGGGAATGCCACAGTGCCATCGTGGCCGACCACATGGGAATGCCACAGAGCCATCGTGGCCGACCGCATGGGAATGATCTGGCCAACGGCTCGGCCGTCGGGCGAGTGTCAAACCCTCTGCGATGTACGCACAACAAACATGCAGACTAGAACAGGGCAGATATGCCACAGGCTGTGCCGCATCGGGCGCGCAGCCCGCCACCAACGGCTTCACAGATAACAGACAGCACAGCACCACGGCTTCCATCACGATAGGGTGCTCATTAAGTAGTTGATCTGAGATAATGATCTGCTGGATATAGCAAAGCAAATGCTCAATGGAATAAATGTGAGACAATAAGCGATGGCTTGACATAGCGAAAGCCACAAGTAGAGTGAATAAAAGAAACTAAGCAGCAAACTGATCAGGAAGGAAGCCACCAGTCCTCGGAACGATACATCCCTACATTGGATGGCCTGCTACATACGAACACCGGCACGGGTCAGAAAACCTACAATGGGAAGACTAGGTGACTGGTGGGCCGTAACACCGCACCCGCGCGGCCGCGGCGAGCGGTGTTCATCGACGCGTTACCCGACCCTCTGACGAGCGCGTGCAGTCGGCCACCGAGGTGCTGACCTACTCCCGCCACACGCTACCGGGATGTTCCAGCACCGTACTGGCGATCATGGCGGGATATGGAATCGGCCATGCGCCCTGCCCCCGCTGCGTGGAAGCAAACGCACCACAGACTAGGTCTTCTTCCACCGCCGCCCAAGTGCGGCACTGGCCTTCAAAGTGGCGGTGCGATCGATGGCTCTGTCTCTCTGACAGGAAGTGTCTGTCCTCCCCATCCCGGGTGTGCCCTCGGGATATGTCCACGGCAGCGCCGGCGGAGTTGACCTGAGGTGTAGCGTGACGTCACCGCCCCTGCCGTGGGCGTGACGGCCGCGTCCGCTGGCGTCGGCCCACAACACCACGGGCCGTGCCCGGTGCCCGTTCCCACCGCGGAATGTGTCCTGACTAGATGCGTAACACCGGCCCGACGACCCTGAGCGAACAACTGATCTGCTCATCAACTGAATCAGCTGATCCCGTCCACGCCTAACAGCAAGCGCTAAAACATAACAAAGCATAACAAAGCCCCGCTCAACACGTAGCAGAGCATGCGTAGCGCAAACAACGACCGAACAAAACGTTGCAACTGATCACAGAGCGATTATGACAGAGTGCCGGCGCTGCGAGCTACAGCCGGGCGGTAGGGCGCGGCATTAACGCACCGAATAACGCTTACACTGGGACGTGATAATGCCATCAAAAACATAACTGGATTTCCACGACTACTCTCGTCCGGCGCCCGGACCACACCATCAGCTGCCGGTGGCGGCGGCAGCGTCGCTAGGCGTTCCGTTTGGGGATGGGCGGCGGCGCCCCCGCCCGGCCGGGCACGGCGGGCGCCGTCCCCTGCCGAGTCGGAATCGGGGGCGGAGCCGCGCCGCGGGCGGGAACGGAGGGCGGCACCGCGTCCCGGACAGGGACGGCCGGCGCGGAGTCCCGGGACGGGATGGCTGGAGCGGCGTCCCGAAGTGGAACAGCAGGCGCGGAGTCCCTGGAGGGGACAACCGGGGCCGAGTCCCGGGACGGGACGGCCGGAGCAGCGTCCTGGGACGGGGCAGTGGGCGCAGATTCCCGGGAGGGGACAACTGGGGCCCAGTCCCGGGACGGGATGGCCGGAACAGCGTCCTGGAACGGAACAGCAGGCGTGGAGTCCCTAGCGGGGACAACTGGGGCCGAGTCCCGGGACGGGACGGCCGGCGGCGCCGCCTCTCTGCCCGGGACGGGCGGCAGAACGGCCGGGACCGGGGCCGGCGCCGGCTCGGCCGCTGGATCAGCCGAGAAGACGTCGTCGTACCAGTCGGCATCAGCGGCGGGGGCCGAGCGGCCGGCGGAGGGCGGCGGCGGCGCCGGCCGGCAGGGGCCGGTGGCGGGCCGAGCCGGCGCGGCCCGCTGCACCGTCACCTCCCGCCGCTCCTGGATCACCGGCTCCGTCAGCGCCGCCTGCCGGGGGCGGGCACGAACGACATCGCATGAGCGTCACGTGTTGTGCTGCCGAAGCGGCTCCCCTGAACGCGGGCTGTCGGCCGGCACTTCCGGTCAGCATCAAAAACATATACGCGGAGACGTCAGATACGAAGAAGAGTGATGAAGTCCCCGCATCTGACGCGTGAAACCTGGTTCAGGTGAACAGTCAGACCGTGCTGAGGTTCTCACCGCCGCCCACACACCTGCATGCCTACGCCTACTGAATGCACATACCTAGCTTACGCGTTTAAGTCCACAAACCTAAGCCGACCCTCAGCTTAACATCACGCCTCCGCCTGGGCCCGGACGGCGGCTACCCCGTGCCACACCAGCGTGGGCAGCCGTGCTGACCTGCGGCTCTGCTGGCGGCGGCGGTCGGCAGGGCTGCGGCGGTCGTACCGGCTTCAACACGTCACCCGAGGACGCCTCCCAGAGAGCGGCCGCCGACGGACCGTCTAGCGGCGCAGTCGGGACCGACAGTCAGCCACAGGCCGGGCCCGGCGCCGAGGAGCTCACGGCAGGACAGGACGGAGCTCAGGGCGGGGAGGACGGAACTCAGGGCAGGACAGAGCGGGGCTCAGGGCGGGACAGAACGGAGCTCCGGGAAGGACAGGACGGAGCTCAGGATAGTAGGATAGATAGATAGCTGACGCCCAAAATGGCATACCGCAGAGCATGGTAGGGAGCAGCCACAGGAAAACAACGTGAAGGACGGAGGGGGAGAGACGGATCAGGTGGAACAGGCGCAGTATTAAGTGTGTCGCGTCACACCACTCTGGCTGGTAATGAGCACGGGACATATAATATATATATATATATATATATATATATATATATATATATATATATATATATATATATATGCGTGTCACTCCCACTGTCACAAGACCAAACCAAACAACCCACACACGGAAGTAAGTAAACAGTGACATTTTGATCATTTCACATACGAAAGAGGTAGCAAATAGCGATTTGTTGATCAGCGCAAACCCCTCGCAGCAAGACCCTCCACTCCAGTCCGTGCCCCCCTTGAGCCACGCTGGCACGGAGGACGCACCGGCGCTGGCGTCTGTGTCGCCGTCGACGGCCGGCGAGGGTGGCGGCGGCGGCGCCTGATGCTCGCTGAGCGGCAGCGTGTTGTCCTCCCCGAGCCGGAGCTCCTCGGCTACCTGAGCCGTCCAGTCGGGCGTGCGCAGCCGCACGGCCACGCGGTGACCCTGCACCTGGGAACGAGCGGCACCGGGCCCGGTCAAGCGCTGCTCACAAGGCAACAGGGGCCATGCAAACCAGCAGGTATCACCAGTCACAATCACGACCAGGGAGGCCGGGGATATCAATCTGGTGGTCGCAGGGTCAGGTTGGTCCCATCTGGCAATGAGGGGCAATGTTGCCTTCATCTGGTGACCGAAGAGGAAATGAGTCGCCAGTCTGCTGACTGCGCGTCACGCAGTCACAGGACGCGGTCCAGTCTGGATCTACTTCAAGACGTTGTTTTACAAACTCCTACAAATGACGGTCACTTGGCTGAGTAACGACATCGTAGCGCGCTCCACACCCAGCCACCCCCTCCTTCGACCATCCCCTGGCGCCCCCACCGACCGTACCTGCAGCGTCTCCTTCTGCGCCGCCGCCAGCGCGAAGCCACCCTCCTTGAAGGTCACCCACATGGCCTCCTGCACGAAGCGGACCAGGATGACGTCGCCGAAGGCGGTCAGCTGCGCCAGCAGGTCAGCCATGAAGCCGGCCAGCTCCGTCAGCGAGTAGAGGTCGCCGCGGTCCGCCTGCCCGACAGGCCGGACGGCCGTGAGTCGGTGGACACAGACCGACGCCGAGCCGCCGGCGACATTAACAGACAGAGCAGTCGGCAGTCTGTGCGGGGCAGGCTCCAGGCCAGCCCTCGTTCAGACCAGACCCATGTCATTGGCACGCCACACCAAGCACACAGACGCGGCCACAGCAGAACGTTGCAGAGCATGCGGTTCTCCCCGCTCCGCCTGGACCGCAGGCGACGCCGTAATTTCGCCGCACCGAGGGCACCATTTCGCCCCATCGCAAAGACAACGGGGCGTCTCCATACCGTACGTGGAGGCGTCTCCGTACCGTGAGGAGGACGGAGGCGTCTCCGATCCGTGAAGATGACGGAGGCGTCTCCGTACCGTGACGACAACGAAGGCGTCTCCGTACCGTGGGGACGACAGAGGCGTCTCGGTACCGTGAGGATGACTGAGGCGTTTCCGTACCGTGAGGATGACGGAGGCGTCTCCGTACCGTGAGGACGACAGAGGCGTCTCGGTACCGTGAGGATGACTGAGGCGTCTCCGTACCGTGAGGATGACGGAGGCGTCTCCGTACCGTGCGGACGACAGAGGCGTCTCGGTACCGTGAGGATGACTGAGGCGTCTCCGTACCGTGAGGATGACGGAGGCGTCTCCGTACCGTGAGGACGACAGAGGCGTCTCGGTACCGTGCGGACGACAGAGGCGTCTCCGTACCGTGCTGACGTCGGCGGCGTCTCCGTACCGTGAGGATGACGGAGGCATCGGGCGGCCCCGCCAGCTGCACGAGCCGCTCGAAAGTCTGCCGGCGCCGCTCCGGGTCCACCTGGCGCACCTCCACCTCGAGCAGCGCCACCACCGGCCGATGGTCGGACTGCTTCAGGCCAGCGCAGCCGTAGTGCAGCACGCGGCCGGCCGTCCAGTCCGGGTGCTCTGGCGGAGGGGCGGCGCGCGGCGTCACCCACCGCCGGCACCCACGCGGACGCCATAAGGCACAGGTCACCTCACCGATGTCTTTCCAATTAGCTGGAAGTGTTGATGAATCGAATAGCTGCGATGGCATGTAATGGCAGGGATGAGAGCGCTCCTGTCATGAAAATGCATGCTGGCAGCGCTGTTTCAGCAAGGACAGGCCCACCACGCACATGCACCAAGGTCAAAAGTTTGAATACTCTCCGGGGTTTGAAGACATGTGGAATCCTGTTCTCAAAATGCTACACTGGATAGTGCGACCATTTTCTGTTCAGAGACCAGTTCGAGCAGTCAGTTAGCCACGCATTCCGCACGCACAACTTGACTTGACCGCAGTTAGCGATCTTGTTCTCATCAATTCACGTCCGTAAACAAAAATCCTAGCCTTGCAAGTCTTGACATTAAGCTACAGATGAGCAGGAGCTTAAACCATCAAACGTTGAAACGCAAACTTGGCAAACTCTGGCAAACTCAGCGCGGCTACATCCACTGCCAGTTCCGGCCCCTCCCCCTCCCCAAACCGAGTAATCGGAGTCATCATAACTAAGCCGTGACGGCTCCATCCTTCCCTTTCGCCGACACCGGTCCGTGGGCAGCACTCCCTGCTGGGTCCCTGTTGGTGTCCCCCACTCGGCAGGGCAGCTGCAGCGGCGCGCGTCTTTGCCCCGCCGGCCGACATACCGGCGTCGCGGGCGACGCGCCGCCTCCAGAGCAGCACGCGGTCGGTCCAGGCCGGGCAGCGGCACTTCTCGCCCGTGTCGTAGTCGTCCGAGAACAGGTCGTACTTGTAGGTGGGGGCGAACTCCAGTTCGCCCTCCAGGAAGTTCTGGAAACACTTGCCGTCCGCCTGCTGGATCTGGGGGCGGCCAGGCGAGGCGCCGGTTAGTGACAGCACTGCGCCAGGTCAGCTGGCGAGTATCGCCAGCCGCAGACAGCCGAACAGCAGAACATTTACATATTCCGGCAATGAACAGCTGTTGCCACTCTGATACAGCGTGCCTCTTCAGCGACAGACAGAGTGAGCTTCTCCGGTCACTGCCACCAGGCACTGACCCTCAACTCACTGTGGGTTGTTTGGCCCATTTCAACCCACCCACAGCTTCGAGTCACAACTGACCGCCAGCTGGCTGCCACACCCAACCCTCACTCACAGTCAGCTGGTCGGCCTCGCGCAGGGCGGCCCAGTCCCGGCGCGCGATCAGCTCCTTGACCTCGTCGCGCGGCAGGTCGATGCGGTAGTTGAAGTCGCCGCACCAGAAGACCAGGTCGTGAGAAAACACGGTGCGGTTCTGTCGGCGGCGGCGGCGGCGGCGTCGTTACCGGCGGCCAGGGTACGGCTCGGAAGAACTGGGAACACTCCGGGTACCTCGAACACCCGGGGACCTCCGGGTGCATGGGTACCCCGCCACGTGGGTACATGTGCACCCTAGCCACGCGGGTACATGGGTACCCCGCCACGTGGGCATATGGGCACCACGGCGGCAGGGGTAGTCGAATCAACAGCAACTTGTACCGAGGAACTCAAGAGCAAATGCAACCAGGAAGTAACTGGTCCAAAAGTGTAGCCTAGTGCAGTCAACGTCTCGAAACACGTATCCCCAGGCGGTAACTGCACTCCACACATTCAAGATGGAAACCTACGCATGCATAGAAAACATGCCTTGCCACGGTTCCTCCCGCATTCAATGCAGGTCCAATGGATTGAGCGAGTGGTGCCCAAGGAGTTGGAAACGGGCAGACGGACTTCATCTCCACAGACGCCAACTGTCAGTCGCGTGGTGACACCGATACCATTTAGAGCCTACTGACCATGGGGAAGCAGATCTTCTTGGAGATCTCGGCATAGTCAGCGTTCCTCTCCATGACCTCCTTCTGGCCGGCGGCGAAGTGGGAGCAGATGAAGCACAGCGATGAGTTGTAGATCACCATCCGGATCGCTACGCCGCCCTTGTTACCTGTGGAGCACGCAGAGCTGACACGACTGAAAACCGGTCCGACCAAGACAGGATTAAAGGAAGCCTCGCGCGACAAAAAATGCACTGCGAGCGATACCGATAAGCGTTCAAGGAATGAAGTCGGCTCCGATCCATCCATTCAGAATATCGGCATCCCACGGCACGAATCCATTCAGAATGTAGGCACCCAACGGCACGAATTCGAAATCAGCCTGGCCGAAAGCTCCAAGAGGCCCAACCAACTCGCCGAACGCTACCTGGTTGTAACGAACAACCAAACCGGTCCAAACATACCACGATGTCCACAGCAGAACAGAACAAAAACCCCGGACAATCAGAGAAGCTCTCAATTCGCCGTCACCCGGGCCGACCGCCGGTTCGAGCCGGTGAGCGCGGGCCACTGAGAGGTGACCCCGCCTGACCCGATCCGGGGCCGCCGCTCACCGGTGGTGCCGCCCAGGCCGGTCTTGACCGTGTCCGTGGCCACGTCCCTGATGTGCTGCGCCAGCTCAGGCCGCACGAACACGAACAGCGCCACGCCGACCAGCTGCACGTGGGTCAGCGGCACGTACGGCCGGTCCCGCGACACCACCTTCTGCAGCTCCTCCCCCCACAGCCGGGCGTTCTCGGAGCTGAAGTCAGATCAGGTCCAGTCAGGTCAAGTTACAAGACGCGGACTTTTGCGATATTTTTTAACGATGTTTCACGATGTAAATCGTTTACCGAATGGCGTGGTGGCCGTTCCAGGTGTGTGGAGTGCCAGCAATTTCATCACTGATTGCAAGGAAGACCTGTCATCCATCACTGGATGCTGGGATGTTTCTTGCCTAAACACGCTTGAGTGCACCACGTTTACCACACCATCAACGTTAAACCAAACCTTTAACTATCGAACAGTAATAACAATGCAACACAAGTTAGCCTGCCATCACGAATAAAAAGGCAAACTGTTCATTTATTCGTAGCGTGATCTGCGCACGTGCCCACTCTGAACCGCGGGCCACCTCAGCTCAGTCACCTCCTGTACATGGCGCCGGCTCGGCTGACACAGCATATGCTGGCGGCAACCGACCCACCAGGCGACAACCGACCCACCAGGCGACAACCGACCCACCAGGCGAAACCGACCCGCCAGGCGACAACCGACACACAGGCGACAACCGACACACAGGCGACAACCGACCCACCAGGCGACAACCGACCCACCTGGCGACAACCGACCCACCTGGCGACAACCGACACACCAGGCGACAACCGACCCACCAGGCGACAACCGACACACCAGGCGACAACCGACCCACCCGGCGACAACCGACCCACCAGGCGGCAACCGACACACCAGGCGACAACCGACCCACCAGGCGACAACGACACAACCAGGCGACAACCGACCACCAGGCGACAACCGACACCACCAGGCGACAACCGACCCACCTGGCGACAACCGACCCACCTGGCGACAACCGACACACCAGGCGACAACCGACCCACCTGGCGACAACCGACCCACCAGGCGACAACCGAACACCAGGCGACAACCGACCACCTGGCGACAACCGACACACCAGGCGACAACCGACCACCTGGCGACAACCGACCCACCAGGCGACAACCGACCCACCAGGCGGCAACCGACCCACCAGGCGGCAACCGACCCACCAGGCGGCAACCGACACACCAGGCGGCAACCGACCCACCAGGCGGCAACCGACCCACCAGGCGGCAACCGACCCACCCGGCGACAACCGACACACCAGGCGGCAACCGACCACCAGGCGACAACCGACCCGCCAGGCGACAACCGACCCACCAGGCGACAACCGACACACCAGGCGACAACCGACACACCAGGCGACAACCGACACACCAGGCGACAACCGACCCACCAGGCGACAACCGACCCGCCAGGCGACAACCGACCCACCAGGCGACAACCGACCCACCCGGCGACAACCGACACACCAGGCGGCAACCGACCCCACCAGGCGACAACCGACCCGCCAGGCGACAACCGACCCACCAGGCGACAACCGACCCGCCAGGCGGCAACCGACCCACCTGGCGACAACCGACCCACCAGGCGACAACCGACCCGCCAGGCGACAACCGACACACCAGGCGACAACCGACCCACCAGGCGACAACCGACCCGCCAGGCGACAACCAACCCGCCTGGCGGCAACCGACCCACCTAGCGGCAACCGACCCACCTAGCGGCAACCGACCCACCTGGCGGCAACCGACCCACCTGGCAGCAACCGACCCATCTGGCGGCAACCGAGCCACCAGGCGGCAACCGACCCACCTAGCGGCAACCGACCCACCTGGCGGCAACCGACCCACCAGGCAGCCACCGACCCACCCGGCAGCAACCGACCCACCAGGCGGCAACCGACTCACCTGGAGGCAATTCACCCACCTGACCGCAACCGACCCACCCAGGTGGCAACCGACCCACCAGGCGGCAACCGACCCACCCACCTGACTGCATCCCACCCACCAGGCGGCAACCGACCCACCTAGCGGCCATGATGTTGCTGGCGTTCAGGTCCACGATCTCCTCGAAGCCGACAGCGAATATGTCTGGCGGCGGCTCCTGGTCGCTGGCCGCGTCCACCAGATCTGCCGACCGGCCGTCGCGGTCAGCGCGACCGCCGGCGCCAACACACGAAATGTCGCACCTTTGATGAGAATGCAACTCAAGTTTGACGCATACGGCCGTGAAACGGCATCGAATGCATCCTGCTTCACCACCGAACAATTCGTAGTCAGCAGAGCGATGAAGCATTAAGCCCTGAAATCTCGGCAATTTCAAAACAAACATCTTTCGTACAAGTCTCGGGCGAGGGTTCTCGAAGACGTCGGCACAGTGCCGACCGTACCGCGATAGCCACCGACTCCGGTAATCCGCATGGCGGCCCTCCGTGAGCCCAGCAAACCATCCGCTCACCGTGGCCGCGCGCCAGCCGCGGCGCGTCCAGCAGCCAGTCCGCCAGGTTCTGGTTCTTGTAGGCCACGCTGCGAAAGTGCTTGCCGCCGTTGACGTTGTACGTGCCGACGGCCACGCGCAGGGAGCGGGGCGAGCTGAACTCGTCCTGCGCCACGCACATGGCGCGCAGCAGGTTCGCCTGGGCTGCAGGCCGAGCGACACGGTCACCGGGGGGCGGCGGCCCAGTCAGCGACGGGGGTCGGAATGTGGCGCCCGGCTGGAGGATAAATGCTTCACAACTACTCCAGATTAGACTCGGTTAGTGACACAGAGACAACGTATTTGCCCTACATTCACAAAATGGAACACTGAATGGTGGGTGGGGGTTGCACAAGTTCAACGATCTCCTGGCGCAGCTCACATTTGTCTCAGAAATCATTTACCTCCAGCCGTACGTCCCCCAATCGAAGGACTTCGTCCCACCGGGAGACACAACGTGAACGGTTAATCGACGAAGCATTTAAACTCTAACGCAACTGGAATTTGGCAACGAATGCTAATCTACCCTTCCGACCAACACCGACCGGCATTCCGCCTCTCACTACCGTATCCAGCCTGCATACCGTGCGCAAAAGGCGGCCTACCGTACATCACGACTAAGGCGAGCAGAAGGCGGGCGCGTGCCGCACAGCTCCGCCAGGACAGAACGTGCGCGGGGGCAGGGGACGGACCGTACCGTAGAGCATGCTGGAAGGTAGCAGGAGGCGCGCGCGGTCGGCCAGCTCCGAGTTCATGCTGCTGCCCAGCAGGATGACGTCGATCGCCTCCTGCTTACTGCTGTCCAGCAGGTTGTTCTGGATGGTGCGGGACACGGAGCGGGCTCCGTCCATCAGCTGCCGGAGAAGCGCGGCGTCGCCGGTAACGGGGTGATCGGACCTCAGAGGGGGCCGAACAGTCGCCGACGCACGCACCCGCACCCACCCACACGAGCGCACGCACGCGGAGGGAGATCTGGCCAGATGGCGGCCACAACATATCGGACTCAACGACATAGTGCACACACCGCAGATTAGCGCGAGGTGCACGTCAATGGTTCGTCCCCCCTGAACCAGCGGCCGGTTTGGCGGCAGTCCGACGGCGGGCCTCACCTTGGAGCCTCCCTGCAGCGCCCCCGTGCCGGCGTACAGCTTGCTAATCTCGTTGCCATTGTTGACCCACATCTCCCTGAAGATCTGCTGGAAGCGCGTCACCAGTGACTTCTTCTCCAGCAGGTTCAGGTAGCGCAGCTGCTCCATCAGCACCTGTCGCCAAGCAGGGTCAGCTGACTGCGAGCTGACGCGGCCCGTTGGAACAAGCCACAGACCACGGCGGGCGCTCAGCTCGGCCTAGTCAGCCTAACGCCCCGCCCGCTCGGCTCACCTCCAGGCCCGACCAGGTTCTGCACGCAGTTGGTCCGGTCCAGACAGTCCAGGCAGTTGGTGCGCACCGTGCCGCACTGGTCACTGTGAGAACACGGGACGAACGGTCACGGGGGCCCGGTCCGCGCCTTTCTGCAGCTTCACAGCACTGGTACCCAGCACAGAGCAACGGTACCCAATACAGAGCACCAGTATCAGATCAATGGTTTGAAATGCCCGCGAAGGTAGCGACACAGCAAGGCACGGTGAAAGAAGCGAACGGCTTCACGGAAGTGTCCCAGCGAGCCGCATTAAATATTCAATGTTAACCGACGCTGAGTGACTGGCAGAGACGACAGGCCCCCAAAGCACCAATTCTAGAAACTGGTGGGTCGTTATATAGGACCGACAACCAAAACCTGGCCAGCTGGCCCACAATGAGTCACAGCCAAGTAATCCGGTGATTCCAACATCTCCAGCCGCCACTCACATGTACACCTCGTCGCCGCGAGCGAAGAAGAAGCCCTGGTGGAGCAGCGACTCGTGCAGCTTCTGCTTGAGCTGCTCTAGCGCCTTGGTGTTGGTGCCGCGCACCTGGGCGTGGTAGTCGAACAGCACGTGCTGCACGTCCGCGTGCTCCGGCAGCGCCTTGTGGTGCGCCTGGGGACGGAACAGACACGTGTACAGACGGCCACGGTGACCAGACCTGATGGCGAGGCAGCCGGCAGACACCACGAGGCATGGCAACAGCCGGCTGGTCCGGTCCGACCTGAGGCCAGCCGACAGACACACCGAGGCATGGCAACAGCCGGCTGGTCCGGTCCGACCTGAGGCCAGCCGGCAGACACCGAGGCATGGCAGCAGCCGGGTGGTCCGGTCCGACCTGAGGCCAGCCGGCAGAGACACCACGGGCAATGGCGCAGCCGGCTGGTCCGGTCCGACCTGAGGCCAAGCCGACAGACACATCCGAGGCATGGCAAGCTGCCGGCTGGATCCGGTCCGACCTGAAGGCCAGCCGGACAGACACACCGAGGCATGGCAGCAGCCGGGCTGGTCCGGTCCGACCTGAGGGCCAAGCCGGCAGACACAGAGGCATGGCAACAGCCGGTGGTCCGGTCCGACTGAGGCGCCGACATACCGAGGCATGGCAGCAGCCGGCTGGTCCGGTCCGACCTGAGGCCAGCCGGACACACACAGAGCAGCGCGGGGGCCGGTGCGCCTGAGGCCAGCCGGCAGACACCGAGGCATGGCAACGCCGGTGTCCGGTCCGACCTGAGGCCAGCCGGCAGACACATCCAGGCATGGCAACAGCCGGCTGGTCCGGTCCGGCCTGAGGCCAGCCGGCAGACACATCGAGGCATGGCAACAGCCGGCTGGTCCGGTCCGGCCTGAGGCCAGCCGGCAGACACATCGAGGCATGGCAGCAGCCGGCGGGCCCGGTGCGACCTGAGGCCAGCCGAGAGCATGGCCAAGTTTCTTCACTGCGCACTGAAATGATAAATATGGGATTGCCCTGCAAAATGGTTCAGCTATAATGAAAGATTGAACAAAACTTCCGAAAGGACGTTGGCTCCCTCATCCTTTCGAAAATCTGCCGGCATCCGAAGGTCTGCAACTGTAAGGAAAGCACACCTACAACCCCTGCATAACGATCTCATGCAACCAGAGAGAATACCACCACCGACACGCAGTCGTTCTCACCGACCGCACAGCAGCCTCTACGCGACCACCTGCGCCCTCGCCCCAGCGTGCCTCCCCCGTCCCCTCACCTGGAAGAGGTTGCTGAGCATGGCCTCGTCGCCGCGGCTGCCGACCAGCGAGCAGCTGAGCAGGTTGAGCACCAGCTGCTGTCCGTAGCGGCGCTTCAGCTGACGCAGGTGGCGGTTGAAGGCCGGCGCCGAGCACTGGTCGCCGCGCGTCAGACGCACCTTGTGCGAACCCACCTGGCGCCGGCGGGGCGGGCCAGAGGGTCAGCGACGGGCCAGGCCAACGGCCGGCGGCGGGGCCCGCAGGGAGCGCAGACGGCTGCCGCAGGGACCACTGCGACAGCGGGGCATGACAAAGGCCACGAACAGCCCGGCTAGGGCAACAGGACACCATGACCGTAATCATGACCGTGTCACTGCAGAACAAGGATCACACAGCCACCATACGCCACAATGCAGCCACATCCCGGCCCAGTCCGAGCTCCTCCCCGGCCAGCCTCCTCAGCGTGCCGCCAGCGAGAGCGAGCGCGGCCCGGCCAGCGCCTCCGCCCGGCGTCGGTGGCGCGTCGACGTCCGCGCCCCTCTCACCTGGACGCCCGGCTGGTCCCAGAAGAGCGGCACCGAGCCGCGCACCTGCACGTGCGACGCCACCTCGTCGTCCAGGTAGATCGCCTGCTCCGTCTCCACGAAGTTGGCCACGTGGCCGTCGTCGTTGGTGCCGCGCACGTTAAACCTACCGGACACCGCACCAGCAGTGTGACTTCCCCTGTGCCTGACCAACCTCGCGTCCTCACACCACCTGACCTAGCGCCGTCCCCTCCTGATTGACCTGTCACTGCCCCAGCGGCTGACTAATCCAGTGCCAGCGCCGCCACTGGATTGGTCAGCCGCTGGCTTCTCCACTTCTCCACAGCGTTGGCTTCTCAGTCAACACCCTTGCACCACCTGTAGTCCGACCTGCTTGCCGTCCCTTCTGCCTGGCTGGCCTGGCCCCCGCCCTGCTCCCCAGCCCCGCGGCTGACCGGTCTGGCCCCTTCTCCGATCCCCGGTCCCGCAGCTGACTGGCCTGGCTCCTCCCTTGCTCCCTGGTCCCCGCTGACCTGGCCTCTGCCCTGCTTCCCTGCCCCCATGGCTAACTGAGCTGGCCCCTGCCCTGCTCCCTGGCCGACTGACCTTGTGCCGGCGCGTTCGGCGCTCAGTCGGGACATGATGCAGGCGCGCCCCTGCGCGCCGCCGACGTACACGGTGCGGATCTCGACGGAGCCGCACATGACGCGCAGCAGCCACTGGTCGCAGCTGACGCCGAACCGCTGCAGGTGCAGGTGCAGCTGCTTGTTCCTGCCGGCGCGGCCGCCCGCCCGTCAGACGGCCCGCGGCAGGACAGGGAGATGGGCGGGCAGGGGCGGCGAGACCGAGTCCGCAGCAGCTGTGCTGTCAGACCAGGAGGGGACTGCATGCGGCGAGACAGCGCACGCTTCACCCGCCGCCTGACGGTAACGAATCTGGCAGACAGGACGTCCTGTCGTCGTCGAAAGTCTTCGCTGCATGGCTTGCACACAAGTATTTAAACATGCTATTGTTTTGCTTTCAGGATTTTAACCCTACCCTTCCTCCAGGAAACAAATGGATGTTGTGCAGTACAAATGACACATCTGTTCCTTTACGAGTTTCCTGTGATACCCATCATGCACCTTCTGCTGCTTTCACCTCTTGTCACACCTAGCCCCACAACGACCAGCATCCTCCGTCCTCTTGCCTGGCACTTGCCTGCTGTCTGCATGCTCCCCAAGCACATCTGCCAGTCCTGCTCACCAAAAGAAGCGGTTGTCGGTGAGCTCGGTGCGCCGCCGCCTCTGCTCGCACAGGGTCAGGTCCAGTGGCCGACCAGTTGCACTCCACGACAGGTAGAATGTGCCTGCATTCAGGATCTTCTTCACCTGTAGTCAGATGCCAGTGTCAGCAATGGCCTGACACAAATATGCTGTCACAGTTGTGAAAAGGCTGCCTGTCTGCCGTCACAAGTGGGCAGAAAGCTCATGGACCAAGGCTCCTGACATGTCTGGGACCATCTAAGTGTTGACAAGTCACTGATAATGGTGCCACAAATAGAACATCATAGTTAAGGCAAATAAGCTGATTCCACATCAAAGCATCAGATGTAATGCCAGCAATGCTGCAGCCCAGCAGTGCCTGGCAGCCAGCAATGCAGTAATGGCTGCAAGGCACCGTGCCATACCTCAGCCACCCGGTCATCATCACTTGGGTTGCCCTGCAGTGAGACAAGTGCTGTCTGTGTGACACGGAACACCTCACTTCCACAGATCTTGCCCACAGAGGTGCAGCCTGTGACCAGTGCCAGGTACAGCAAGCAAAACTGGTCATCTGAAACACAAATCATGGGATGTGGTGTGAAGGCTATCCATGTGATGATGCAATTTGGAGCAAAACATCAATAGTAGGCTTTAGAAACACAAGACATGCAGCCACAAATGATGTGGGTGCTGACCATATGTTAGGCTTGTATTTATATAGTCAAGTAAAAAGGAGATTGACAACTACCCAGAAAAATTAATATAACATGATGATAGGAAATAAAACCTGAGTTGAATGATGTAAAAAGTTGGAAATGTATTATGTTACAAAGAAAACTGATCAGAAATATATCAAAACCAACAATACTATACATACTGGTGCTCAGCTGAAGAACTCCAAGGCAGCCATAAGCATCCATCAGTCTTGTATACTGTTTCTTGATGGCATCCACTTCTTGTGGTTCTGAAAATATTATAATAATGTGTGCCTGCATTGTTGTCACTCACATTGTTGTCACCAAAACAAAGCAAAGGTGACTTGAACTGAGATTGGAAAGATATCTGCCAGGAATATACAGACATACCAGGAATACCAGCAACAAATCATACTGATCACACCCACTGCTCACTTCATGGAACACCCAAAAAGCAGCTAAAGACCAGAAAAAACTTTTGTAACTTGAAATGTGTATACCATGATTGCTATATCCATATTCCAGTTCCTTGATGTATTTAATGACTATTGTAGCAAGTACCTAATTTATTCATTTAGTTTTCAAGACCATGCTGGTGTTTATGGCCATGGTACCAAGATGAGCACCACTCCCTAACAAAACATAACTCCACTGGGGTTGAAACCAATAAGATCCCTCTGACTCACCCAGAAGAGCAACAGCTTGAGATTCAAACAAAACAGCTTCATGTTTGTTCTTCTGTTCCATTAGCACACTATATGGATTTGGTGGGTTTATCTTGTGGAATATCTTGAAACCTTTTCCCATCGCCATCTTGGGTTGTAGGAATGTGTCCTGGTAAGCAATAAAACTAGTGTAACTCTCACTTCTGTGGTTCAATACGAAACAGAGGTGACGAGGCGATGATATTGATGTGACATCCGCACGTCAGCCTGGATCTGTTATCAGAACCTCTTCAGAGCAGCAGCAATCCCAGCACGGATAAGACCTGACTGGGAAAAGGATGGTTCCACTGTAAAAGTGTCATACCAAAGCACGTATCTGACTGTTCTTCCACTCCCGATAACCACGGGCGCCTCGCAATTCGCGATCGCCGTCCGCCGCAGATGACCAATGCCAATACCTCTGCTCACCTCACAGGGGGCGGTACTGGGAGTGAGACGGTGTGCAGTACGGCGTACGTAGTACGGTGGGACTAGCGGCTATATATCTCACCCTGTTAATTTAAGATGATCACAGAAATGATCATGATGCAACTCCTAAAATTATGCTATAAATAATTTCAAATGATTCATTTTATTTTTTCTTCTGAGCTCAAAAATGTATTTTACATATCGACGTGTCGTTTATTCCACGAAGATTGAGCGAAGATAACCTGAAAACATTGTGACGCCCTTGAGACATATATCAGGCATTGGCTGAGAAAAGGATGCATGCTCCCGGTGCGGTCCGCCCGTGAGGCTACGGGTGTGTTTTGTGTGTGTAAAAGTCGGAGTCAAATCGTCTTGAGTGTCCTTAAGTCACTTCACCCAACGATTATTCATTCTACGGCGAAGTCTTGTGAATCTCCTAGAAGTAGTATCTGTGGTATGCCAGGAATGCAGCCTAGGGCGAGGCGTCCGTAGGCCCACAGTTGTCTTATTCCACCAATCACCGCATACTGTTCCCAGGAGTCTTTCACTTTTGAAGCTCATTGGTGTATCTTGTTAAAAAAACATCCAAATCAGCATTTTGTGTTGTCATCAATCATTCCCTCCTCCCCTCCTCAGAAAGTGTTGGTTGCCAATGTATTAAGTAATTCAAAGGTTCTAAGTCAGCAGAAGTAATTCTTTGTGACTTCTGTCCATGCCTGATGCCAGTCAGGGTTGTTAATATATAGATGCACAACTTTCCACCCATTTGTCCTCTGCCTGTGATCAAGTGTTAGAAGGGTTGAATGGTGTTTGTTTTCAGACATGTGTGCATTACTACCACAATTTTCTCCTTGGATTGCCTGGATGTAAACTGGGTTCTTTTGGTCATGAGTGCATTGCTCTACCTCTGATCTAACCAGCAGGATCTTGGATTTTTTGCTCAGTGATAAAGCATTTGACTAACCAGGTAAGACCTCCCTGGTTAGCTCAGTGGTAAGGAGTTGGACTTGTGATCAGAGGACCCTAGTATGAATCCCAGCAATTCAAAGGAAAAATTTTAGGTTGTTATGTGTAAAAAAGTAATAGGCCAATGTTTTGTCACATGATCATGGTTACATATCATATGTCACATGACCACTATAAACCATATGATGCAGGTGCATGCATAAATGCATGAAATACATTGTGATAAATATACCCTTTAGCTAGTCAATAATTTAATACAAGTCTTAGGGCATTACACTAAAATGACAGGTGGATGTCATTGGTCTGTTGCAGGTGAAAAGAATATAAGAAAAGTGAAGAAATGTTGGCTGTTTTACTGACTACACCAATCATTGGATACATTATCTATGTTGCAGTTCCTGGATCAAGTCTGTTTTCCTGGCATCCCATCTGTATGTCAATATCTGTAAGTACAGCCTGTTTTAGGACAGGTAGTTTTTTATGTTTCTTGTGTTTTTTATATCAGAAGGTATCAGAAGGCATCAAACTGCATTCTAAGCCTTCAGGTCACTACCTATTGCTATCTCACTGAGCTGCCACCTGACATGACCTTATCTGTGTGGTGCAGTTTGCCGGCATGATGCTGGGTGGAGCGGAGGTGTTCTCACTGGGAAGCCAGCGATACCGCCACCGTGTCACGCTGCACTGGCAGCTGCAGGCAGCAGCCGCGGTGCTGTCGCTGGCTGGCCTGGCCGCCATCTTCTTCAACAAGGAGCTGCGCGGCGCGCCCCACTTCACCTCCACGCACGGCCAGCTGGGACTGGCAGCCGTGGCTGCGGCTACCGTGCAGTCGGCGGGCGGCCTGCTGGCACTGTATGCCACTCGACTGCCGCGACTGGTGGCGCCGCGCCTCACCAAGACGCTGCATGCAATGTCGGGCGTCGTGCTGGTCGCGCTGGGCCTGTACACGCTGCGGCTCGGTCTGGCCACTGCTTGGTTCCAGCTGGTGGCGGCGCCGCTGGCCCAACCGGTCGGCGAGCTGCTGCTGGCGCTAGCTGTGCTCAGGGTCACCTACAGGGTGGTGATGTTCCGCTTCAGAAGGGTCAAGAGCAGCTAGGAGGTGGTGGTGGCGGCGGCGGCAGGGCCTGGTGCAAGGGCGCCACCGCGATGTCCCTTCGAGGTGCTTGTGTTGGGTCTGTTCGCTGCGCTGCTTTGTTGTCGAGTTGAGATGCTGTAAGATTATTCTGTATACGGATTCGACTACGGATGATGACGTGAAGCTTTGCAAGTAATATGGCTCAGTGTGGACTGTGCGTTATTCAGGCTTTCCGTATTGGCAGCGCCGGTCCATAATGCAACGTAGGAACAGTTCAAGCATCTATGATACGCGATCGTGCGTCCCAAATCTGGGTCGACGTAATTGGCGCTCCAGCATTTTTTCTCAAGCGAATTGCCAGGATTGGCCAGCAGTGAGTTGCATTTACCCGCTCGGCATAAGGGACCTGGATGGAGACCCTGCTGTCAGTGTCGATTGTTCTGATGTACGTACCATGCAGGCAAAATGGCCATCATTATGGGAATGCCAGAGCGCGTTGAACACACCAGTATGGCCAGTTGTGTTGACATCCTGCGCAATGACGTGGCACACCTTCGTTACGCGCATGTTCATTCCAGCTTTATTGAAGGGCGGACAGCCAGCGTGGAGTGTACTTTAACACTATGAACGTGTTTTTTCAATATGGTATAAAAGAGGGGTCGTTTACTGGTATCAATACTCCAGTATTCTTGTTGCAAGGGTTGCGCACTTGGAATGGGCTTGTCACCGGTCGTCTTACTGTCCCCGATGGTATATACAGGCTCCTCGTGCGCTTTTGCCATGTGATCTCATTCATTTTTGGCAAACTTTATCTGGCGTGTGTAACTAGTTGAGCAGCAGTCAGAGGGAAATAGATAATATTCTTGTGGGCTTTCTCGTGTTAATGGTGTCACTTTTGAGCGCGTTATATATGCTATCTACTTATGATCGTTATTATTGAAGGCAGCTGCCTGAATAAAAGAGCGTTGAGCCCGGTCAGTTTTTCCGACTCCTCAACCTCGTTGTTCTCGAGGAAATAAACACAAGTAAATGTCGGCCCTAATTACCGTTCTAACAGTGCCGTCTGAGGTAAGGTGACGTTTGCAGCAATACGCTGCAGGCACAACTGGTGAATAGCCTGCTGCAGTGCACACCAAGTTGTGCACTTTGAAGGGCTATTCGGATGGCACGGACATTTTGCCAAATACGTGGCGGTGTAGGAACGCCTGGGTGGGATGTGGAATAGCGAAGTCCAATAGGGATACAGTTATGACTGTTGTATAATGCCGTGGCTGGTTTGTCATTCATATCATGTCATTAAGCACAGCACTCGCTCGGACCGCCGGACCGGTTTGCTTCGTTGTCGGTGTCTGGAAGATGTGATTCAACGGCTAGCCTATCCAGCACCTGTCAGATCCCGTCGGAAGATGCTAGAGTCCGACACATTTGAGAATGACTCGAAGGTGAGACGGGCGTAGACCCGAGGACCTCCGGTAGTCTTGGATGTCTACGACAGCTTACACATCTTTTTTTGTTCACGTTTTTCCTGTATATTTTATAATGGCGCAAAGGATCACTGTCCGGCTTCCCCTGGGTCGTTGCGCTATTCTAAAGAAACCCTTGGGATAAAAGAAAACTCGTTGGCGCGTAGAAACTGTAATTACGGAAGATTGCGTCGCCAAAACTTCGTCAATATGTTACAGCGAATGCTTTCACGGAATGAAAGCTTTAGGATGTTTCCTGGAAGCGAATGGACGACTCACGGTGCGTCATTAGCAGACAACTGGCGGGCGTTTTACTCACCCTGGCCGGAGGGGGTGGGCTCAGACATCCGCTATCCCGACAACTAAACATAGTCAACAAAAAACGCCATCAGATATGTTGCTGATGCCGACAAGTAACAATGATGAATACCAACATGCAGTATTGAATGAAAACGTATTCTCCGGTACTCTGCCTGTCGGAGTATGGATGCGTATGTTTTGCGCGTCGGCGTCGCGTTTGTTTATAACCAATCGCCCTGGCAAACGCCGTCATCACGCAACGCCCGCACACCCTAGCCCGGACGATCGAATGGCTGCATTTGGCGGGAGCCATCGTGCACGGGCACGCCATGCTGTGTCGGGTTGGAAGAGAGCACCCGGCCGCGATCGCTGAGATAGGCCAGGGCGACACGGGAGAGCCTGCTTGGTCGACAGCCACGAGAGGGCCGTCGGCATCTGCGTCAGACGCCGCTCACTGCGGGCGGTCCTGCAGTACTGCTCATTGCTCTCCGCTCACCGCTCGTACGTGCTGATGACGATACTACAGCTGATGAGGGAGTGTGTGAAGCTGACGAGCAGGCTGTGTAAGATCATGCGCAAGCCGTGGCCTCGCGCGCGGTTCACCTCGCGCGGAAGGTCACGCGGGAACCGCGACCTCGCGCGCACCCGCTGAGCACCGTGATGAAGTCGCTGTGCGGCCCATCCACCCCGTGCCGCATGCATGTCTCCATCACGCCCTCGGCGCGTACGTCACGGTTCAGATGATGGCGCCGATCATCCGCCGCAGGCGCCATCCCAGGCAACGGCCGTGGTGCGGCGCCGCAGGCGTTGTCATCCGGTCCCCAGACATTATTTTCGTACGAGGGCACACGAGCCCGCTCCGAAGCTATTCAATGCTGTCGAGATAAAATTCCGTTGGAAACGGACAGAATCATTACCAAACGTCTTTATGTGTGCCGCTGTTCCCAGACTACTATCGCAATAACCATCCTTTACCTAAAGACAACTGGTGAATGAAATAACTGAAGACCGAGTGCTGTGGGATGTTATTGGTATAGATGCCTGCGCTCTATTGTTCTCCCCATGCTCTCTACCCAGGCCAATGGCTCCCTCATTTCCGCTCGCCGCGTTCGCTCTAATGAAAACAGTTGAGAGGCTCGCACAGCCTCGGTGCATGTACAGCCACCTGTGACCAGCAATACCGCGCACACAGCCGTCGCTTGGGTTGGTCACCCACCACCTAAATGATTGCCACGTCCCCGATTAAATAGCGCAACGCAGCACAAACTCGCTGGGCCACGGAGTGAGGCTGTGAGTAGCTAGTGGAGCCGGCAAAGTGCCGGCAGTGCGGTCACTTGGGCATACGCAAACCTACGCGTTCGCGCGCGCGCGCGCGCACACACACACACACACACACACACACACACACGGCAGCACTTGCATGCTGGCGCCGGTCGCGAGGTTATTAGCGTCCTGCGTTGAGGCGACGGAGCATGAAGGGCGGCAAGAGTCGGAGCGACGGGGCGGTGGCCAAACACTGAACGATGCGACGCACCGGTAACACCGCGGCAGGAGCATTGCCTGCGCATGAGGAAGCCGAGAGACACGGTTGTTTGGATTCTGCGGCACTAGCGGCATGTTTGGCTTCAGCCGTTGACTGGGAGGCTTGAGAGAACTGAAATGTTGGAATATAAGGTCGTAACCATTATTACATGTCCCTCTACTTACTTGCTAACCAAAGCCCCAGTCACTCTATCAGGCAAGACATCCTACCAGGTAAGCTTTGTTCAGGCAAGACACCCTACCCATGCAGTTGACTCGCCCTTGAAACTCCATAATTAACTAGGCAAGTAAACCAATGTCTTGATTTTAGCGTCACAATAACCAGATATGTGTCGGCTAAAGTCATGCACGGCCAGTGTTGTGTAAATTCTAATGTGTGTAAGGTTAAGGTATGCCTTTTTCACTTCACGTGAGGTCAAGATGCTGACCCACGTCATGTGCGACGATAAGGCAATAAATGGAAGACTGTAAAACTTGTGGATGCGTATGTCTTGGCCACGCACCCAACCAGTCATATTGCTTTGTTGAGGCCGTGCACATAACCAACTACACGATTGAGATAATGATGTTTTTGCTGGCTGCTAACGCATTTGCTAGATTCATATCTAAGAGACCGCTTAACGCCCTCGCTTTGTAGACGCTCTCATGCGTAGGCATTCCTTGCTGATCTTGACAACGCCACCATCGTGCTCGGTGATCGAACAAGTCATCAACACTGTCGTATGCCTCCATCGATGACCCAAAGTCGTAACGGAATAGGGAACGCGACTGCATTTCACATCACCTCCACTCCACAATGCGCCATCTACGAGCGCTGTTCGCCGAGGTGCGTTGATCACAGTGCCGAGTGGCGCGCAATAACACTGAGTGTCGACCGTTGGGCGCCGGCGCCCCGTGCGACAGCCGACACCCATCACAGAGGACACCTGATGGGCGCTCGTGTGTCATCGTTAGTGGCGACCAATGTCCGGACGTGCACCAAGGGTCGTCGTCGGGCTGCTGTTTGTGCAGGCAAAGCCACGAGTGTGAAGATGCGGCCTCGGTCTCTATGACGTGAGTCGCTCAGTGTGGATCATGCTCATCTTTGGTGTTATTGCCTTTGCGCTGCGTAAGCCGTCCGGCGTGTGCGCCATTTCTGCCTCGGCCTTTTTAACTCCTCACATGCGCGTACTCCTAAACTTTGTTTGCGGTCGATCCCTCACGATGTAGATGGAATTGTAAATGGATAAGCGACCAGCGTGATGGTGCCGCATGGTAGTCAAGACCGTTTATTTGTGCGGTTCAACTATCACGGCATAGCGGCAGAATAAGTCATTAGATCGCAAATTATGTTTTGTTCGATACCTCATAGACGGGCATCATCGATATGGGAAAAAATTGGAATTATTTTAGCGTTAAATGGGTGCAAACTCACTACATTTCTAGCAGATACCAAGACACTGCAGGTAAGCGAAAACAGAAGAGCGTCTCCTCTCCAATCCTATCATCATTTTCCTCGTAATTGCAGTTTTGTCGCGGAAATTGCGATCAACGTGGGATTACTTGAGCCTTGTCAAATATTGAATTGGGTAAGCTCAACTTTTCTGTTAGTTTCACACAATCAAGCCATCAAGCAATGCTCGAGCACAAACACAAACGAATAACGTTCCTTTAGTTAGGCGTCGCTTTGTTGCGCTCTTCCGTCACATAAACTTTAAGTGTGACCTATACATCATTAAATGAAAATTAAAGGGATTGGGCATGACAAAGAAGTCAGTTTTGACCCTGAACTTCCTCCTGCTATAGCTAGTGAGGATATGCCTAAGATTTGAATATCTGCTGACAGCTTTAGCCTTCAGCTTCATACGCATTGGTCAAGTTTTGAAGATCACATCTTAGTTTTTTGGTAAATGAGATCTGAATGTCCTCGTTTCAAATGAAGCAACTTGTCCCACCCTTCGGGTAAGTTGTATCATATGACGGGGAAGGTGGGCTTATGGCTGTCTTGTCATAGAGTAAGCTTCATCGCAAGGAAGCTGAATGCGTTACGACATGTGGACAGAACACGTTCGTCTGTGCAATTTCGTGATTCGTCGTGAGAACGACATGATTTCTTTTTCCCCTTTTTATCAATCCATATTTGTTTATAACTACCACCGCTTCAGTTTCGGTTTCTCAGGCAGGAATCACAGGTCTACGTAGATAATGTAAACGTCAACTTCTTGTCTGGGTAGCAATAATTTATGGTAAACGTGTCAGTAAACAGTCGGAAGTAAGTCGGTCATTGGACATATTGTTATTACATCTTATCACTGATACAGCATGCCCATGCACATGTGATACATGTACCGCCGGACATCCCGGAAGAAACCTCGCACCACTCCGAAATCCTTGGAAAGCAGACGCTAAATGTTCTGCAGTATATACGAGAGATAAACTTCTCCACCGCTCAGCATAGCCTTCAGACTGGTGTAATCACGCGGTGAGCCCAACAACACATTTACAGCGACGGCTATAGTTTTCTTCAACGAATTGCAAAAAACATATTTGTCGCGCTTATCCCGAGACACACGCACGTAGGGCGAAACGAAAGCACACTGAAAGGTAGGACGAGTTGCTCTGCATCAGCTCAGTTAATTAAGACTGCCATTCATCGCATAAATTCGAAATAAATCACCCTGATGCTGCTTGGTCATGATGCAACTTACCCCAGTCTCCCCTACCAAATGCGGTCATAATGAAGGTACCGCCATGTAGTACTCATGATTTATCGCGGTCGGTTAAAAACAGAACGCACACTTGTGAACTCAAAGTCATGCTAAAGTATAACAACACGAAGGAAAAAACCGCTGGAATAAATACCGTATAACAGCGTAATTAGAAACCATCGTTCCACCACAGCCAAAAGTTCCATATACTTAGGACAAGCTTTCGGCCTTGTTCCTTTCTCGGGCGTGAGCATTAACAAAAAAAGACACTGCCAAGCAATTAAATTGGTGCCCTCAAAAAGCAAGAAGCAAAGCAAGCATGCACTCAGCATCCACGATGATGGAAAGTCAAGGGCGAAGATTCTGTAACATCATCATACCAGCACAAATATGGCACTCCGGCTGCTTAAGTAGGTACGTGAATAATAATACCCTTCTACCAATGCATCTTCATCAATCTAGGTCTACTGAGACATCATTCGCTAACCAATCACAACCGTCACTGGCTTCATTACAGCGTGCCTCTCAAAGTTCATGTCTGTAACCGATTGGTTATAGTTGCGTTCAACCGTATTAACCCCTGCCTTGATAGCGGCTTAATACGGTTGACGCAACTATAACCATGGGGGTTAATACGGTTGACGCCACTATATGGGGGGACGATGCGACCCCCAAGGCTTTTGAGGACACCTCCCCGACATATTGTGTAATAGCGCTCAAATCTGTGTTGTCCCCAGAGGCATCCATTGCACGTGTCTTGATATCAAGAATGTGTTCCTAGATTTTCTGGTTTCAGAGCAGAAGGGTTTTTAAGAACACCGCGCGGTGATCCACGGCCTGAACGGCCGGTGGGCGGCAGCCGAAGGTGCCGCGGAACGCGCGCGGCCAGCTGCGGTTGTTACATTAACTGAGCCATATGTCATAAAGATATGTCCAAATACATAAAGCAATGCACCATTTCAACCTGAATTAAACAAGGAACTCGCTTATGTAGGTTTTGTGTCTCAGCAAGGCAAGGTCTCATAGGTATGAGGTTGTAAACTGAAAATGCGATTTCCTCGATTGTTTTCCTTTGAGCGGGCATAAAAGTTCCAGTTATTGACTTAAAACATACAACTTTCTTTCAGTCGCGAAATCTCGCTGCGAAAAATCCACTAATATTTTCTGTTAAGCGCAACCTTTACTAGATTGGAAACGGCAGAATAATTGCACCTACCCCCTCAGCCTTAGTTTAAGTTTTTTTCAGCCTGAAAGGCTGAAAAACAAGGTGGGGCTGCAAGGAGCAAAGCATTTCGGATGCTAGACCTATTAACAGGAATGTCCATTAAAAAAGTGGGAATTTTATCAAAAGTTGCACTTGGCTTATGTCAGACCACACCTAGAGTATCGTGCACAAGTTTGGTCCCTATGCCTCCACAAAGAGGAGATAGGCTGGAAAGAATGCAGCAAAAAGCAGCTATGATGATAGATGGGGATGGCAACTTAAAATATAATGATAGGCTCACAGCCTTGGATTTATATTCACTGCAATGTGGTAGGACCTAGAAGGGAACTGATCGAGGACATTCAAGATTATGAAAGGTACAGACAGGGGTAGATCTACATGTAAGCACTGGAGAGTAGCCTGAGACTCATAGGAAACCATTTTAATTTTGCATCAGGTAGGAGTAGAACTATGAAGAGGCAGATGTCATTTAGTCAAGGAGAAGCGAATTATAGCAATGGAACTGTCGGGCAAAGTTTTAGGAAGTCTCCTTTGGGCAACGTTTAAAAATCCTTTGGACAAGTTCTATCGGTCCTAAAGATCTCATTTATGCCTGAATTCAGGACAGGTCAGGTGGTAAGATTAATTTCGAGGACGTATGCGGAACCTGAGGTAGGCCAACCTTGATGGGCCCATGTAGCTCTTTGTTGGTTTACAGTTGACATGAATAAATGCTCACCAAACAACACGCAGAAGGATATTTACTTTAGACTTTTTGGATCGCATATTGCTTTGCCTTAAACTACAGCTTTGATTGCCCCATGAATTGTGTATGCGTGAACCATACTGACGAAAGATTTAAACTTCTTAGTGTATGCTTCTATAAAGCCGACCACGGTTATGGCTGACTGGTGAATTAAGTCTCAGTTGACCTGGATTGCTTAAGATGCATTGGTGGAAGCGTATTATGTAAATATATTCATGTATCTATCTAAGCAGACCGTGTGTTACACTTGTGTTGGCATAAGGATGCTAAATAATTTTCGTCTGTGGCTACCTATCATCAGTAACAGTGCATGATTTTCGAGGCGCGCGAATCGAGTTGCTTGACAATGTGTTTTTTTGTCAAGGCTCAAATTTGAGGCAGGCTAAGGTCGAAAGCTTGTTCTCAATATATTGACAGTTTGACTATGATGAAACGTTGATTTCTAATTAGGCTGTCATACGTGCTCGATGAGTACCAGACCAGCGTCCCATTGAACGAAAAAACACGTCATGAATCAGGATGGTATGCCAAAATGTGCTAAATAGTTCATTAAAAGCTTTTCTGTACAGTCTCTTTAAATACGCTTGACACAAGTGAATCAGGCTCAAGTGAAATTGATGCAATGCATCGGTCTAAATCGTGATTTGGATAAAAGGGTCTTTGCGGAAAAAGAAACTCATCGCAAGAGTATTTATCACAATCATACTTTAGACACTTGACCACTTATTAAGAAAATGTTTTGTGCTGGGCATTCGACTTCACATAATGCCATACACACATAAAAGGCCAAAAATAACAGGTAACCGTTAGCCATAAGAGTTACAAGCGCTTAAGGCTCGAAATTGCAAGCGAAGTGACCTGGTTGAAGGCCAAAAGTGACTGACACAACACATACTAGTCAAGTAAGATGGCCGACCGCTAGTGGAGAGTGACCCAGCGCGTCACGGCCACGTTTGCCATCGCATATTTCACATCACTCACGTTATGTGAACCACCGCGAGTGTCATTCTCTCCGCGGCCTGTCACGCACAGGTCAAGCAGGTCACGTGACGTTTCACCGGGTCAGTCGCTCGCAGTTTATGGGGCGCACCTGGTCATAACCAGTCTCAGTGCTATGACTTGTTATAGTCCGGCCGGTCTTGCGTTTCACGGGGCTCTGTTGACCTTGTACGCAGCTGAAGTCCCGTGACTTGCGGTTCGTAAAGTCAGGTGACACTCAGCTGGTGGAGGTACAGGAGAAATACCGGAAGCAGTTCGGATGCGGTGTGAAGAACACCTGGTTTGGCTTGGTCCACGCCGTCTGGGGAGCAGGGGCACTTTCACTGTCAACTGATTGAAAACGGCTGAAATCTCAGGTTAAAAACGGCTTGAGGCAAAATGATGCAGGGAAGAAACTGTTAAATGGGTCCCGGTGGAGGTCAACAACAGAGCGTTTTATAGGTACGTGTTGTCAACACTAGTGGGCAGATTTTAAAGACGATCCGACGAAATCACAGTCAAGCTCTTCACCGGGTATTGGCCACGTGTCGGAATCTTCGCCAGTTAGCGTCTCCAGAACACACCACTGAGGAGTTTGGTTGTTTGGTTGTTTGGATTAGAGCCCTTTCAACCAGAAATTATCATTTTAGGGCTATGGGATGAAGGAGAATGGTTAGCGGTGGGGCAGACTTGCATGCACCTGAGGGGCCGACCGCCGAGCTTTAACCCGCGCATGCGCGCTGGGTACCCGGTCGGGGTCCCCCTTCTCACGGGGCTCTCAGCCCACTCGTGGCTGACGCATGCAGCCGCCCCGGACAAGTGGGTTGTCGTGAGGATGCAGGATAAAGCAGGATAGAGAATAAGAGCGACCGCACGTCCCAGTATGTAATACAGACAATTTGTGCACCAGAGGGATGAAAAAACCCCTTCCCCATAGACCCTTGCTTACACCGCCCATATATAGACCGCTATCCCCTACCAGCGTTCAGGCAGCCTGCCACGCATCTTCGGCCGGCCTCGGCCGGGGACGTACTGGTGAGCGGGCGCGTTCGGGCGGTGCGCTCTGTCGGCGGCCCGTGCAGCTGTCGTTCGTCGCTCCTCCAGTAGAGGGAGGCGATGGTAGCGGCGCAGCGGAGCGTCACCACGCCTCCGGGCTGCAGCTGGTCCGGCCGCAAGCGGAACATCAGCCCGGTCCTGGACGTGTCCAGTCCGTCCCCGTCGCGCGTGGCCGGGTACTTCCTCACGAGGTCGGGGTCCGCCTGCTTGCAGGTCAGGCCAGGTCAGGTACGTGTCAAGTCAGGTCAGGTCTGCGTCAGGTCACGCCAGATCAGGTTCTTGGCAAGTCAGGTCCGTGTCATTTTTCAGTCCATCACGCACTCGGGATTGTTCTTTGGATAGGTTAGATCACGTCAGTGTCCATTGGTAAACAGGTCAGGAGCTGCCAGTGGACACCTCCGTCGTTTCACTCTCCTCAACACCCTGAGGACTCCCATGATACTGGAATTCGTTCAAGTCACGTCCAAGCCCAAGTCATGTCCATCACGTCACGTACGGTTCGACAGTTGGGTAACAAAGAACATGTCAGCCTGTCCATGTTGGCTCGTCTCCATGTCAGCCTATTCATGTTGGCCCTTTTGAGACCTTTATGCTTTCAGGCGCGTCACACACGAATAACTGCGCACTAGCGAGTGCGCAGCGTTCACCTGACCTGTACGTTGTTGATGTACCACTTGAGAGAGGCGGCCGGCCTACTCTTGGCTGAGGTGCAGTTGACGTGCACCGGCTCCCCAATGCGGTACATTTCCCGGTCGCCCGAGATCTGAGGTCCCTCCGTCGGCACAGCTAGAGGGAAGGGGGCGGGGTGCGCCACATTGATCAAAAGCTCGGACGATGAGTTTGGGACGAGATGATCCATCAGTCGGAAGCTTCGCCTATTCGCCTCTTCCTCCCACGGTAGGGCTATCCTTATGAGATTACGCTTGTCATGGGCCATCAGACGACCTTGCAGCAATCTGAAGCACATTGCGGGCATGCCTATTTCTAAGGAGTGTGTAAAAAGCCCCAACCAATCCCACTACACTGCGATTGCACTAGTCCGACTCGTGCTAACTCGATGACATGATATAGACTGCAATTCACGCGACAACCGCACAGCACCCCGCTGAAGGTCACGGCCGACAACCGTCACGGAGCTCACCGACCACGCTCAGATCGCCATGTCCGTGCACGGTGACGTAGGTGGGCGCCTCGGTGGCGATCTCACAGCGGAACCTCCCCGACGAGCGGAGCGTCACCGGCCGCAGCACCACCGTCGTCATGTTGCTGGCCACCGCCTGCGGGCACAGCGGACACCGTGAAGCGTGGCCAGCACCACCGTCGTCATGTTGCTGGCCACCGCCTGCGGGCACAGCGGACACCGGTGAAGCGTGGCCAGCACCACCGTCGTCATGTTGCTGGCCACCGCCTGCGGGCACAGCGGACACCGATGAAGCGTGGCCAGCATCACCGCCGCTGGACGGCGTTTTGACGCATCTGGCGAACGCGTCAGTGGCTCGATTTGATAAGGTTTCAGTGAGACTGAGCTGGACGGCGATTGCGACGTGACGCTTCTCTCGGGCCAGCGTACTTAGGGCTCATCCAGTGACGTTCACAAGCATTAGGTTCATACACTGACTTGATTAAAAAACATTGCAAAGCGTGCCCACCGAACAGCATCAGCGACGGCACCTCCACACGCCCCATCCACAGACCCGGCGACGGCACCTCCACACGCCTCATCCACAGACCCGGCGACGGAACCTCCACACGACTCACACCAGACTGGGTGACGGCACCTCCACACGCCTCATCACAGACCCGGCGACGGCACCTCCATACGCCCCATCCACAGACCCGGCGACGGCACCTCCACACGCCTCATCCAGACCCGCACGGTACCTCCACACGACTCCACGCAGACTGGTGACGGCACCTCCACACGCCTCATCCACAGACCCGGCGACGGCACCTCCACACGCCTCATCCACAACCCGGCGACGGACCTCCATACGCCTCATTCACAGACCCGCGACGACTACAACCCCTACGCCTCATCCACAGACCCGGCGACGGCACCTCCCACGCCCCATCCACAGACCCGCAACGGTACCTCCATACGACTCACACGCCACTGGGTGACGGCACCTCCACACGCCTCATACGCAGAGCCGGCCCACACGTCTCATCCACAGACCCGGCGACGGCACCTCCACACGCCTCATCCACAGACCCGGCGACGGCACCTCCACACGCCCCATCCACAGACCCGGCGACGGCACCTCCACACGCCTCATCCACAGACCCGGCGACGGGACCTCCATACGCCTCATACCAGAACCGGCGACGGCACCTCCATACGCCTATCCACAGACCCTGACGGTACCTCTATACGCCTCATCCACAGACCCGGTGACGGCACCTCCACATGCCCCATCCACAGACTCGGTGACGGCACCTCCACACGCCTCATACGCGGAGCCGGTCCACACGTCTCATCCACAGACCCGGCGACGGCGACCTCCATACGCCTCATCCACAGACCCGGCGACGGGAACTCCATACACCTCATACGCAGACTGGGTGGCTGTGCCTCCACACGCCTCATCCACAGACCCGGTCCACGCGCCTCATCCACAGACCAGGCGACGGAGCCTCCACACGCCTCATCCACAGACTCGGTCTACACGTCTCACCCACAGACCCGGCAACGGCACCTCCACACGCCTCATACGCAGACCGGGTCTACAAACGTGGAATCGACGTAAGGCGCATGCACTGAGTTAAATACACGACGCACACTTTAGCAGTCAGCGATTTGTTGCCTCTTAACAGCACTTCTCTCAGTAGCACCAATCAATAACATCATTCAATAGTTCAGTAGCTAAGTAGCACGATTTATCACATACGATGCCTCATCACATCGCTAATGATGGACCACCATACGGACGTGGGGTGACTGATGCGTTACCGGCGTACACGACCCAGCTGTAACTCATCAGTGTTATTCCTTGCGTGCCTCCTCGAGGCGGTGTATTTTGGAAAGGTCGTCTGCTTGATGTTTTGACATTCATCCATCTGTCTTAGCATTCTCTTTTTTTCTCATTTCTTTTTTTGTTTTTTTGTCTTTTCATTCTTTTTTTGTCATTGTCTTTTCACTCTCTTAGCATCCTCATTCTTAACCATAACACGCTCCCAGTCAACCGGCTCATCACTGGCATGTTGAAAGCCACCTTTTTGAAACCTTAGATGTTAAAATAAGTCAAGCTGATATCTCTCGAAGTCATCTCGTGACCACACTCGTGACCGCACTCGTGACCACACTCGTGACCACACTTGTGACCACACTTGTGACCACACTCGTGACCACACTTGTGACCACACTCGTGACCACACTTGTGACCACACTCGTGACCACACTCGTGACCACACTCGTGACCACACTCGTGACCACACTCGTGACCACACTTGTGACCACACTCGTGACCACACTCGTGACCACACTCGTGACCACACTTGTGACCACACTCGTGACCACACTTGTGACCACACTCGTGACCACACTCGTGACCACACTTGTGACCACACTCGTGACCACACTTGTGACCACACTTGTGACCACACTTGTGACCACACTTGTGACCACACTCGTGACCACACTCGTGACCACACTCGTGACCACACTTGTGACCACACTCGTCGTGACCACACTTGTGACCACACTTGTGACCACACTTGTGACCACTCGTGACCACACTCGTGACCACACTTCGTGACCACACTCGTGACCACACTCGTGACCACACTCGTGACCACACTCGTGACCACACTCGTGACCACACTCGTGACCACACTCGTGACCACACTCGTGACCACACTCGTGACCACACTCGTGACCACACTCGTGACCACACTCGTGACCACACTCGTGACCACACTCGTGACCACACTCGTGACCACACTCGTGACCACACTCGTGACCACACTCGTGACCACACTTGTGACCACACTCGTGACCACACTCGTGACCACACTCGTGACCACACTCGTGACCACACTCGTGACCACACTCGTGACCACACTCGTGACCACACTTGTGACCACACTCGTGACCACACTCGTGACCACACTCGTGACCACACGTGATCAGTCATTCGGGATCATAAGCACGGGTTAAAGCGTAAATTATTATATGTGGCAAGCATGAGAGCCAGCGCAAGAAATCTGAACTTATAATGTCGAAACAAGTAAATGACTACTGCAGTCGAATGGCCTCCGAATCCAAATATCAAAACGGCAAAAAACCGGGGCTCAGTGACATCATGGCAAATTTCACACACTAAGGTGGGCAGGTAATGTCACCCACGTGCATGCAAACAAACCTAGGATATTTTAAGATGAATGGATACAAGATATGTCGCCGCCGGCGCATTCTTACTTTTAAAGGACTTCATCATTTCGCCTTTTTGCGGGCAGTACTTACGTCGTTTGGCCACTTCGACGGCTTGACCTCTTACCTGCAACCCGCCTCAACCTTTTATTGGCAATCTCTCAACTCCATATGGGTTATGGGTTAATGCCTAATGGCATATAACCCTTACAGCGCCACCTCTGACGCTGCCCTCTTAGCCGGCAGCACACTCACGTCAACGAAGACGCCCGGCTGGCTGAAGGTCTTCACGGGCGGCGACTCGCCAGGCGAGAAGCGGTAGAACTCCTGGCCGTTGCGGTACCAGTTGACGGTGTAGATGCGCTCCCCAGGCTCCAACCGGAAGAAGCAGGAGAGCTGGGCGCGTCCACCGAGCGGCACCGGCGACGGCACCTCCACGCGCGTCATTCGCAGACTGGCCGCTCCTGCCGCAGCGAGAGCAGGTGGAGCGGGTGTCGTGGTCAAAACCGTTGTCGCGTAGTTAAATTCATGTCGTTTAATGACCCTAAAAGTCATCAAACCGTGTTGTGTTAGTTTGCCACACAGGTCGGTCACAAGGCCGCCCGCATTACAAGAAAGCTTCACACTTCGCGAAAATGCGCTCGTTTTGGCGACTGCTGGCTTTGAACAATGGAAAGTCTGAACATTATCTAAATTACTTCCGGAACAAAATGCACACCATAACGCGACGACATGAACGACGGCGGCGCGTCAGGCCAAGCTAAACCCGGCGTGCGCCTCTGGGTTAGACGAGTGTGATTCGTGAACATCCAGCTGCCTCACAACGCCCCGGGTAGGTTCTTTGCTTCCTTATTTGCGGCGGGAATTAAATGAGGGAGGAAGAAAAGAAGGACGCTGACAGATTTACCACGCATAATCTTCAAACAGTATGCTAAGGCATGGTAAACATGCCGTTAGCATGATTGGATGAGACATTCCGCCCAACTTCGCAGATGAGTCCAAAGCCACAAGAACAAAGCTGATAGTCAGGCAGCGGTAAAATGACTACATTTTTAACTTGTGCAGCCTGAAAGATACCATTATTTCAGATTGCTTTAGGCGGCCGCAGCTGTCGGCTGCATCCATCCGTAATGCGGTGGCAACGCTCGCGTATCATATAAGCGTCAGACGGACTAGAAGAACTCTGCAACTGCATAGCTTTAAGGTTGATAAACCGCAGGCGTCATACATAACAAAGTGACGTTGATAAGGAGTGCAACAAATGTTTCGGTTATGAGGTAAGAACCGTGCAACTGTTGCGTTGGTACCCTACACAAACAACAGCTTAAAGTCAGACAACACCGATCTTAGAATCTACAGCGCCTAACAAAAAGAGCGGGTAGTCAATACGGCCACAGCGCCGACACATCCCGCTCTCAAAGGCAAGGGGACGGCCTGGCACGAGACTGATCTCCTGCCAGTGGTATGTGCATACGAGCTGCGGCAGATAGAGAGGGACTCGCGCTCCGCAGCGCTATGCGACGCAGCCGGACGCGAGCTCGCCGCAACTTCCACCGTGTGGAGCCGCCAGTGCCTCGGAACTTCCACCGTGCGGAGCCGCCAGTGCCTGGCAACTTCCACCGTGCGGAGCCGCCAGTGCCTGGCAACTTCCACCGTGCGGAGCCGCCAGCGCCTGGCAACTTCCACCGTGCGGAGCCGCCAATGCCTGGCAACTTCCACCGTGCGGAGCCGCCAGTGCCTCGCAACTTCCACCGTGGGGAGCCAGGGCGGATGCACGTGCCGTTTGGAGATCCGCTCCTAAAAACAGGCCGGTGCTGCCTGAATGACGATCAATTTTGTCCTGTGAGGGATCCCATCATGAAGCCTGTTTGAAACGATGACATCAAACCTGAAATTACTCAACAAAAAGTTATCCATTGTTCTTGATCGAATGATAGCACTAGCTAACTTGATTTGACTGAAATCTAGTGTGCTTTATTTCCTTCCGGATGGCGACGTTTGGACAGGATTTCAGGCTTTCGCAGTCAAATGTCACTGCTCCATACTCATAGCCAATAGTTGAAAGGTCCCTAGGTACGTGCATATGTCTGACCGTCCTTCGGCAAAGAGACGGCCACTGACACCCAGAAATATGCTTGTCCACAACTTCTTGGACCTGGTCTCTACGCCGGACACACATGGCAAAATCTGTTTCGACTGCAAGTGAGCACTTTCAGTGGAGCTATGGCGACAACGACGAGTGCCTTCGGATATGGAATATGATCAGTCGTTGCCCCACTTCTGTCGCTACCTACATCGCCTTCGAAGTCTGGCCAATTGCACCAATCATAAACTGAAACAACTCAGGCCAGGCAGAGCGCGTTGGAAACTACATCACAAACTATTGACACTAGCTAGCTTTGTGCTATCGAATTATGTTCATGCTTTGAACTGCTCCTCCCAGTCATGGAATCACATTTTTGGCCCAGCTGATAGGACATTGACACGGAGGAGTGCAGGCAAAGGGCTTATATGGTTTGCGACGGGTTAGGGCTAGAGCTTCTGGGGGACCACGTCCCATTTACAGCACCTGCGCACTGCGAACAGACTGCAGATTCCGGATACGTGGTCCGTTCACGCAACCGTTTCTGTTTTCAGCGCGTTGGACGCGCGTACGTGGTAGTGCCTTGTTATAAACCAACCATGCACCTACCTATGTCATTCGATTGCTAGATAATGACATCACTTTTGGCAGATGTCGCTTCTGCACACAGGACTGGGTTTCTTTTCCATCTTCCGCCTGGTCCTGCTGTACGATCTTTTAAAGAAGCCCAAGTAATTTTGAGTTGGGTGTTCAATTAACCAGCACGTGACTAGGGGCGTGGCCAGGATTTGTGACGAGGGGGGGGGGGGGAGGCAGCCCATTGACAGTACATACATGCCGCTAAAACACTAACAGTTCCCACAAACGCGAATAAGTACAGCATCTATTTTCCAGTGAGTCTCCGCTTGGCTGCGACAATAAACATGACTTACGTTCGTCATATTTGTGACGGTTAACAGTGGTTTACCAATGGCAGATTTCATGCACGCCTGCATAGTCAAAATGGCTTGAATGAACAGCTGGATCTCGCGCATGAATAAAACCGTGACCAGCAGACCGTTTTAGATCTCAATTCGAGCACCCTCGGGTGCGTAGCACACGTCACACTTCTTCTTCATGACGTCACCGCATGCGCGTCTGGCGTGATGAAAAAGCCTGTGTGAACAGACTATGATATGTACAGCACGCCACGTATAAATGGGCTGCCAATGCTGGTCCCACTGGCGCCAAAAACAGACGAATGAGTCGCTTGCCATGTATATCCACGCGGCTTTCCGCCGACCTTGATAATACATTGTAGATCATGCTCTGCGCCAATGTACAATTGTGAGCGCGTGGCCCGACGAACGCGGTGGTCACGCCATCTGAACCCGCGTGCTAGGACAGCCGTGGAAAGGGACGACATATGTATCGCGCGGTGCCCCAGTACAAGAAAAAAGCAATCACTTAAGATCTATCCAACGCCTTAAAGCGTCAGGCCAAAACTAGGATTCGCAACATAATTGGACAACATGACTTTGTTCTCGGTAGGCGTGTATCGTGTACGGTGTTTGTGGGGTCATTGGAAGGTTGACCTAGTATTTTCATCCACATACGACCTGTGCTGCCACGATGTAAGTTGACAAGAGTTTGAGAATGACCCAACTGTTGTGGATTGACCCCATTATGTACAATACGGTGTCATGTTGCTGCCGATGTAAGTCAATGCAATGCAAGGACGAAACAGTTTTCCCGGTTTACCAGATTGTGACATGCAGTGTTTTCCAGTGTCGCGGTGAAAGGTACCTTCGTTCCTCACAGAGTAGGCTAAATCCCCACGCCCCTCGTTGGCTGCACCTGCAGTAACACGATAACTTCAACCTCATGATCTTAAAAGAGGTGATTGATGACGCACACAAATGACTGCTTAGCACCAGCCACGACAAAGGCGAAAGAAGGGAATGCGAGATCGTATCAGATAAGTGTACCGTCATTTCTGTCTGCTTGCATTTATTTCCAGAAAGTACGGTCTGTGCAGATTCCAACAACTCCTCAAAAGTCATATCCGGTCGCGACTGCAGCACACTTTCTTTCCGCAAAATTGAGGCTTCCCCTTCAACTTAAACCGAGTGAAATAAGCTGCTCTCGTCAGGAATATCAGCGCAAAACGATGCGCAGTTGGACGGCTACGGCTGAGCTCACGAGAGAATGGGGTGGAGAGAGGTGGTATCGCCCGGAAGAATGCAATTCCAGCCAGGACGCTGCGCCAGTAAACTGTGGTGCCGACTGACGCCAGTAATGAATGGACAGCGGGGATGTGGGTGGACAGGCTGTGGCGCTGGACTGCCTGAGGGACAATGGTTCGGCGAAATCTGGGTTGGAGTGCAAAGGCTATGCTTCCGTTTAGGTCATTCATGCGTGCAACTCATCACCTTTAAAGTGATTGTCCGAAGCCTGTAACCCGATCCTCGTAAATGCGATTCCTATTACATCAGGTTTTGAAATCATCTTTTAAATAGCTGCACTGTGTGATGACTAAGTAAACCACAGTTTGGATGCGACGTCTTCCCCTTTACAAGCATTTTAGAATGACAACTTCAGCGGACGTCAGCCGTGTAGCGATATCACTTCAGCAGGCGTCAGCCGTGTAGCGACATCACTTCAGCAGGCGTCAGCCGTGTAGCGATATCACTCTGCATGCTGAAGTGTTCTTGCTAAAGTCATTGCTCTGCCGCAGCACACGCTCGTAACAACGCATCGCTTATCAGACAGCGCGGCCACAAAATGCATGACCAAGATGACAAGCAAGCATCATCAACACGAGCGGCAAGAGCCACGCTGGGTCAGTCCGTCCCAGACCGCCTCTCATGGCGCTACCACCCGCTCATTGAGGCCTGCTCGCCACCGTCCCCACAGCGACGGTCCTCACTCCGCGCTCACCGTGCAGAATCAGCGCCAACAGAAGCCGCGCCGCGCCGCCGCCCATCCTGGCGGCTGTGTGGTGCTCCGCCGACTGTTCGCCCCGGTCCGATGCACCTCTGGTCGCTGCCCGTCCCACACTGGACAGCCCTGCTGCGTCGGCGCTGGCGGCGGCGGCGGCGGCGTGAGGCCCGTCGGAGGCGGCGGAGGCGATGAGGGGCTTGTCGGAGACGCCGGTAGCGATAGCGGTGTGAGGCCCGTCGGAGTCGGCGATGGACCGGCTCGCCGCTGTGCTATAGGCGGCTGGCCGAGCAGGGTCGGGTTGCTGGGCTGATGGACGAGATGCGTTCACTGAAATGTTCACTGACAGAAACACGCTCGTCAGGTCGAGGCCTGCGTATAGCTAGGTGCGTCAGCTTTTAATGCTCTCTGTCGATGTGACACCTTAAGATGAGTAATGCCTGACCGGTGCTCATAAGATGGATAAGTGATAAAGTTCGTACGTCAACTTCCCGGTGTCCGTCTCATTGCCTATGGATGCTCACTGGACTCTGTTGAGTTGTTACCGTGAATGTTATAGAATGTGTGGGCGGTGTGGTTGGCCAGTATACCGTACCATTGACGGCAGGGAGACGGACAGCCAAACGGCCTGAATGAGCGGCGAAACACGGCCAGCTCTCGTGAGGGCGGCAGACCAGCGATCACCCAGCAACTGGGTCAAAGCCAGTTCAGTAAGTCGGCGTCAGGCAGTGTTCGTACCCGTATGCTGCGGCAACTCCGAGTAAAAAGATGCACCAGTTGTTCGCCTGAGTTGCACAGAGATGTTAAGTGGACGCAAATGTACGCCCTTTCAGTGCCTTTTTCAGGACGTGGTGCTCTTCAAAACTGGAGAACAAAGCACGGGCCTCAGCTGAACACACCGTTACCCAGGTGGGCCATCAGCTGCTGGCCCTCTCCACCGGCGATCACAGGCCAGGTGGTGGAGACAGGGGACGTGGAGCCTCACCGATTGTCGCTCGCCCCAATCGACTGCCTCTCGCCTCACTCTGGCTACCCTGCGCTCGGTAGAAAGACACGGAGATGACAGGCTGAGGCGGAAAGAAAGAGACGAAGATGGCGTGCCATCAGCACCGCCGGTGGCGCTCGGAGAGAGTTGAAAAACATTCGCCGGCCGGTGGGCTCCAGTCTGTTTTCGAACGCCAGAACTCCTGGCTATCGTGCTTCCGATCGCTTCAGAAGCCAAAGCCGTCCCGGAAATTTACGGGCGCGATTCGCTCTCGCTCCAACGCCGTCCGTCTAAACACCCGACTGCATAATTAGATGTGCTCCCTATTGAGCAGCGCTAAAATCGGAAGCGCGCTGGGAACCGGAAAACATTGTAACGACTAGGCTGGTGACTTCCTGCCTGCGCCAATGATCGCCGTCACTGATTTTACATGTAACTTGCGGCACTTTCGCAGACAGAACACAAAGGTGCACAGCGTCCACTACCACAAGTCATAGTCATAACCTTCAAACTTGTTTTGTGGACACAGTTCACAATATCAGCATAACAACCACGCACAGACGCGGGTATTGCAGCCCCATAGGCGTAGGAACACGAGGAGGGAGGCAAACGGGTCATGCTTCTACTTTTATTGACACTTTAACGTGAAATATAACATAAGAGATGCATTGAAATTACCCCCCCCCCTTATTTTATAATGAATCTCCTTGCTCGTAAGGTGCACCGTCCTCTTTTGGAGTTCCACGGATGCTAGAAGTGTCCTAGTCAATGTGAAGGCCCTCTTCTAGCAACATCGCACGGTCAAGCTGGCCGTGAGTGACAACACGTGACATGAGAACATTGCCCGAGCCGTCATCCCCGACCACAGCAGCGACGTGACGTATGTACATAGCCTGAGCCATCATCCCCGACCCCAGCAGCGACGTGACGTATGTACATAGCCTGAGTCATCATCCCCGACCCCAGTGGCATCTGGACCGCCCAGAGAAAAGCATGTGGATTTCCACCGCAATTGCAGATGTCACGTCAGTCGCGATCGCTGCTAATTATTCAGCGAGGCTCCTGCCGTGATGTATATCACGTCAGCCGCTTCCGGGAAGCGCTCCGCTGCGTGCAACCATTTGTGGCAGACTGAGGGGGCGTGAAACGAGGCATAGATCACCCGGCCGGCCTTGCGTAGGCTGATGTCGGGGAGGGCTGCGGTGCTCGCCGACCCTGGGTCGGTCCCACGGGCTCCGTCTGGCTTTGCGGAACCTCCAGAGAGGCTCCGTCTGTCCGAGATCCACCTCGGTGGGAGTGGGATGCCGGGTTATGAGCAGGAAGGCTCATGAATTCCTGGATGTTAACGTTGATGTAAATATGCCGTGTGATTTTGTGCTTATAGGCTCAAGGGTGATGAGTCCCATAATCAGATTGTTATTGCCGGAATGATTTATGCCTACATAAAACCACTCTTCTTCGGATGTATGTGGTGCTTCTTGCTTTGCTACCAAATCGCTCTTTCCGATGCAACTCGTCGACAGGGCTTTCGCTCCAGCATAAGTCAGAAAAGGAATTTACACACTGCAGGAGACGGATGGGGAGTTGGTCAGCATACCGGCAATGACTTAACATTTATCGACGCCGCTGCACTCCCTCGCGTTTTGCGAAAGTAGTACATAAGATGCGATTAAAATTAAAGGGGAAATACCGAACCCTTCTTTGCTTGTAATTATTTCAAAGCTATGACTCATTTGCGAAAGTTGAATAACTGTATTGAAAAACGTAATCAAATGCCAACATCAATAAGCCGTTGGTTTGATATGCCTCTCAGATGTTGAATACCTGGGAAAGGTATGGGATATCATTATCTTCCCTGCAGGTTATCATTGCGAAGGATAGCATAATCTAATAGCGAATGTATATTAAATACCTTAATGTTTTCATGACACGATTTGTAAACTACCCTTTCACAGACTTTTCAACAGCAAGATGCATCGCTAGGCCTGGGACGAGCGAATCAATAACAGACGTGGCAGTGATCCATTATCAGGTAAATAGTATTTCCCTGAGATAGCAGAGCCATGGCCTTGGGAAACCAATACCCTTGGGAACGATTGTGGAATGAAAAGCCCGATCTCCATGTTAATTTAGCAGGCAGAGGTTTACTGAAGTGATATCCACGACTTTTTTAAGATTGTGTTGCTTCAACATAATCTGGTTATGGTCTACCGAGGCCAAGCAGCTTAAGGCGACAAAATCAAACATTTTTTATTGAAACAGATTTTCAGTGACCGTGACCAAAGCCAAAAACAGAACTGAGATTAAGATGTCGATCACGTGTATTGCCACCATACAATTTATGGTGAGACCGGTTTCAAAAAGGTCACGATGGCCGCTTCCCGGTCATTGCTGATGAAACTGTAGATTCAACTGTGTGGAGATCGCCTTGTGATCGACTGACGTCACCTTTTCCGACATCACGCAGCGTACGTTTGGTTTCACGCATTCTTCTGTTCTGATTACAGAGATCTGGCAACAGTACTTTACACGCGCTCAGGCGGGGGAGGGGAGTCAATTTGACCCCAAGGCTTTTCTAGAATGATTTCAGAACAGTGCCGTGAAGCCGCGCCAAATTCTGTACAGCTGTGTGCAATTTGGTATTAAATGTTTTGGTATGGCACATTGTATTAACTTTTTAGGGTAACTGACCTACATGGTACTTCAAGGTTAGGTCGTGGCTGTCAGCGGAGGTTATTTCTAGGGAGTCGTTCAATCTCATGCGACCACGGAGTGATCGATGAAGCCGCGCATCTCGGAAATAGTTGCTTGGAAAAAAATTAAATCTATAACAAAACAACACATTCCATTAGCCTAGGGTCAGGTGTGAAGGCCAGACTGAGGTCAACACCAACCTACTGCTGTACGCGAGAATTTGCTTTATCTGACCGTTTCTGGTGCTCATTTCGAATTTGTTAATGACAGGGATCACAACAGATATGTACCATAGATTTATTAAAGGTCAGAGTAGGTCACTGATATAAAATAACCTACTTAAACATTTTTAGAAACATGCCGCCTAGTGTCGAACAAGGTCACTGCCTTTAAATTAATTCCATCGACCTCTTAATTAGAACAGATATCGTGCTTAACGGCGATGGAATGAGATGGTCTGGGGGCCCTTTGGATACCAGTCTGGAGTTTGGCATTTTTAATCTTATTTGACCCCAAGGTCATGACCTAGGAACCTCAAACGTTCAAAAACGAAGTCCACATACAAACCATCCCGCCCTGTTAATTCAGTGCTTTTAGCTATTTTAGTTTTCGAGGTCTCAAGGGGACAAGCTGACCTGCATTCGAGGAAAGGGTATTCAACCGGCCACCCGGGCGCGTGTTAAAATGCTACCAAAGTCGGCGAATCCCTGACTTTCGTTCAACAGGAGTGACTAGCCGCACACGTCGACACACGGTGTCGCCATTACGTCCGCCCCTTCTTTCACCCGTCAGACCGTACTGGTTTCGTGCTCTCCGATGAGGGGGTCGTCGATGTCTATGTTCGCTGCCGCCTGCCAGACTGTACTGGTTTCGTGCTCTCTGATGAGGGGGGTCGTCATTGTCTATGCTCGCTGTCGCCTGTCTGACCGTTCTGGTTTCGTGCTCTCCGATGAGGGGGTCGTCGTTGTCTATGTTTAAATTGAGATGGGATAGATGGGGGCACAGATTGTTCACCTGGCAATGTGGCGAAAAACTATGCAGAATCAAAAATGCTATACCCGGATTATTTACATCAATATATATATATATATATATATATATATATATATATATATATATATATATATCGTTGTAATGCAGGCAGTGCAACTTTTAGAGGAGTTTTACTTATTGTAAAATACGCGAGGCTGTGATTGATGGTCGCCAAGTTATCATCTGCAGGAAATCATGCCAGCAGAGTTGGCGCAGGACGTCGCAACAGAAAATGTATCCAAATAAGGCTCGCACTGCCTGTGATCTCGCTCGTACACCTGCGGCTGAAGCGACCAGGGGCACAGGGACACACACACGTCCATGGACGCAGGGAT